CTTTGATATAATGACCCTGAAATAAAAGAGGTGGGGAGAACATTGTAATTATAGAACCCCCATGGGTTACACCAGTGTGAGAAGGATGTATGTACTTCCACAGCAGGCTGCTGGCTCTATGGAGCATGGCTGGCTGAGATTCCTATCGGAGGTGGTAAGGATGGTGACAAGAATCTATTAGACTTAATGTGTACAAGTAATAATACCATGTCCTATGTAAGAGCAAGAATTAAGCTAGACACAGTGGTTGATCCTGAATCTCAGCTTCTGGGGTGGCTGAGATAAAAAAAAAAAAAAGCCTAAGTTTGAGGCCAGCCTAGGCTACATAGTAAGTTCCAGGCTAGCCTGGGATTCAGAATGAGACCTTATCTCAAAAAGGCAAAAACAAACAAAAACCCAAAAGACTATAATAGTCACCCAAGAAGTGAGACATGGTTAAATACTTCCTAGTTTATGCGTACTTTATATAGGATGGTGTACATGCTTATTTGAATAGGGAGTAGATTCTAAATTCAATTAAACATTAACGTATGCCTATCTGTACACATCTACCACTCGTGAGGTAAGGTGCATGATGGGAGACGTTTATAGAGTGTGTTGAAATTTATGCTGTAATGCGGTGATACTCACATAGTACTTGAAAACAGCTCATGTGCTTCAAGTAGAAGCCTTGAGGGCTAACTGAGGAAAACATTTTGGTTCCAGAGAGGCCGTGGGCTTCCTCTGTGACTGCCCTGCGGAAGTCATTTACCCACTTTGGTTAATAATGCCACAGCGTTAGTGTGGCCAAGCCTGGGCTCTATTAGTTACACTTCCATTACCGTGATAAGACACCATGACCAAGGCCACTTATAGAAGAGTTTGTTTGGGTTTCTGGTTCCATAGGGGTCGTCATCAAGGCAGGAGGCAGCTGTAACAGCAAACTGAGAGCTCACATCTTGACCCTCAAGCAGGAGGTAGAGTGTGAAGGACAAACAGTGCCTCCAGCCAGTCAATGGGTGGTATCATTGTGCCGGTCTCCTTTAGGCCACCGTAGTTTTGAGATTTCATGGGTCTAGCTTCCCTGTCATACACTATCTCACAGTAAACACCCTGGCTCTCTGGTTGTTACAACCTTCCTGCCCCCTTTCCATGATGCTACACGGTGTGAGCCTTAGGTGTAAGAGTAGGGGCGTAGGTTTATCGGTTGGGGTTGGGGACCCCATGCTCAGTTGCTCTCTGCATTTTGCCCCATCTGGATTCCTGCCATGGTCTCCATCTGCTGTAAAAAGAAGTTTCTGTGGTGACGGCTGAGGGCTACATGCATTGTGGGGAAAGAGTGGATGTTCAGGCTGCACACAGAAATTGTACTGGCTTAGGAAAGTAGCTGTAGGAGGTTTTCCTCTGGGACTTCAGTATCTGCAATGAGGTTATCTATATTGCTAAGAAAGTGTCTGGTTACCATCATATGGCTACATTGTGAACCAATTCTTTAAACCTTTTATCTAAGAAAGTTGAAATCGTTTGTTAACAGCAGTAAGATTGACATAGAGATAAGAAATGTAAATATTTAATGCACTGGTCAGTTTTTGGAGTGTGTGTGTCATATAGAACTAGGGTTGATCAAAAGATTGGAGAGCAATGGATGCAAAGGTTACTGAAGACTCGTCTAGCTCGACACAGACTTCAACTGAGTTTGGATGGGTAGTCACGGCCAGTTAGAAATAATGATGTCACGGCCTGACTAAGGATTAGATTGGAATCAGAGTAAAGACAGAAATGGTTCAGGTGGAAGATCTTAGGCAGTGAAAATAAGGTTTTTTTTTTCTATGTTAAGCTATTTGTTACTATGATGGGCAATAATAACAGTAGGAATAAGAATAAACAGTAGGAAAGAATGTTTATTGCTCTTTTTAAATATATTTTTATTTCATCTGCATTCATATTTTGCCTGCATATGTCTTTCTGAAGGTGTTGGAGCCCCTGAAACTGGAGTTACAGGCAGTTATGAACTGCCATGTGGGTACTGGGAATTGAACCTGGGTCCTCTGGAAAAGCAGCCGGTGCTCTTAACCGCTGGGTTTTCCAGGCCGTTTATTGCTTTTATTTGGAGTGACGCCAAGTTTTGGGTTCCTAAACCCAATGGATTGTTTCTAGCCTTAAACAAAGCAGAAAGAAAAAGACAGATTAATATATATGGAAACATTAATTAGCAGCTATCATAGACTTTGACTTGTTAGATTTGTCGTCTAAAGCCCTATTAAATGCAGAGCCCACCGGTGCTCTTTCCTCATTCCTTCTCTAGGGAGCCTCCCTCTTGCTGCAGGTGTGGCTAAGCAGCAGGGGCTCCCAGTAACCTGGCTACCTTCTTGAACTTCCTTTACATTGGCAACTTTCAGGTTCTGATCTGGCCACAGAGGAAAAAAAAATATAGAAGTTTCAATAATTGAGTGCATAGCTGCTATTAAAAAGGGGGGGGGGGATGCTTACAATGACTGAATTCCACAGAAAAACTGACAAAGAACACCACACGGGGACAAGCTGTGTGAAGATGTATGAAGGAAGAATGTGGAGACTTTCACTTTAGACAGTCACGATGGCCCAGGAGTGAAGGATGATCACAGTAGCGTAGCACACGTGAACGTTACTAAGCCCTCTGGTAGAGTCTGCTGTGAGGGAGGCAGTGACAGCTTGGGAACGGCTCCTGTCATCAGGGTTTCGATAACAACACACCTGTGCTTTACCACTGTCCGTTTTCTGGGGGCGGGGATCAACTGTGAAGTTTATGTCAACAATTCTAAAATCCCAGGTGTATGAACATAAGCAAAGATTACCTTCATGGACGCGCCCAGGAAGCAGGCCACTGGCATAATGTTGGCCAAGGTCCCAGCATATCTATTCCAGCGGCGGCTCCATGGCTTCTCCCTGACTCAGCCTCCTTTCTTTCAGCATACAGTTTAGTTTTCCCCACCACTCTACCCTATCACTGGCCTAAGACAGTTTCTTTATTAACCAATGGTATTAACAGCCTACAAAGGGGGAATCCCACATCACTTTTTACTTCATTTTATGTATTTATTAACCTATTTATCTGTCTTTACTGGTCTCTTGCTTGCCTATCTTTACGGGGCCATTTTTGTTTTGAAAGAGGAAAAGAATATACTGTTGGGTGGGTAGAAATGTGTGGAGAATCTGGAAAGAGTTGGGAGGGAGCAAAAACATGAAAACAAAACTGTGTGAAAACAATTTTAATTAAAAAAAGAACCTGGGGCTTATTGATTATTCAGCCAAATCCCTAAACCAGCGGTTCTCAACTTTTCTAATGCTACAACTCTTTAATATAGTTCCTCAGGTGATGATTCCCAACCATAAAATTATTTTCATTGCTACTTCATAATTTTGATGTTATAAATCAGAATGTAAATATCAGGTATGCAAACCCCTGTCAAAGGGTAGCTCCTTTCCCAGGTTGAGAACCACCGCCCCAAACATTGCTCGTTTTCAAAATACTTTACTATCTGTTTAGTTGAATTTAAAATGTAAACAGGCCAACATAACCTGTTCATTTTATTGTTTTCCATCTAGCTCTGTAAATGAAATACTGCCTTCCTAGCTTTAATGTTATCTTTGTGTATGTCTGTTATTAGAGGTGAGAAAGTTGAATCTAAAGCTAGCCTGAAATATTTTTTCTTTATACTAAATTATGTCTTCTTCCAGGGAAAAATTTTAGCAATTCTCTAACAAATGCTTCAACAATTACTTTGACATAACTTTACCAAGAAATAAGCTTTTAATTCACGATCCAAGGATCACTTTCCCTATTTCATGGATGAAAAGAAGTATGTTTCACTTTTAGTTATGGGCAGAACAGATTGGACAATTGTATTCATATGCAAACAGCAAGGCAGATAATGTGTGCTGATCAGACTGGGAAATAAATAGGATCCCCCATCTAGAAGGACAGCAGCAAACGCTAAACCTACACACCAGGAAGTGAAAAGTCCACATCTTTTCTTGAATTATGACTCTTAATTGTCATTTTGCCACCAGATTTATAAAAACAATTAAAGTGATGTATATACCACCCCAAAGTCACACTGCTTATTAACGTGTGTATTTACTATCTGAACTACTGAACAAGACAGACCTTTCAAATGAGTGCACCCAAGGACGGCACTATCTTCACCAAGGGGTCTCTTCAGGCTCTCTAGTTACCTTGTTGTTCGTATTAACAAGTGCATGTCAACTGTAACCTACCTCTCAGCTGAAATGAGTAACAAAACCCTACTGGTTTCTGTTTAAAATTAAAATGTCATAGTCACTTTTAAATTCCTTAATAAGCTTTCAAAGAGTAAAGTGGCAGGAACAGCAGCTTATTTGAGAACGAAAACAAAAATCACAAGTGGATTTATTTTAGATCTCTGACGGCAATCTGGAATGGGCATTTATGTGCAGCTGTGATAGGAATACTGGGCAGACTCGCCGGGCAGAGTGGGAGGGGAGTGTGCAGATGCCCGCTCTGTCTCAGCTCTTGCAGAGCAGCACTGAGTGCACACAGGACAAACGGCCAGCTCTGGCCAATGCTCTCAACAATCCCCACGACCTTTAGCAAACTTCCTAACTATCTAGGCTGCTTTCTCAAGAGTAACCGGCCAGCACAGGTGGCACACAGCAAAGGCCCGAGTGAGAAAGGTGCAATGCTTTCTAACACTTCAGTCAGCTCACCAAAACCACAACAAATCCCAGGAGCAAAGAATCAACAAGTTCAGGAAATATGAATCCTATTTAATCTTGTAGTTTCCCCTGAGAAGTCTGGCCCTAAATTAAAAACTAGAAAATCTAAATCAGTTCAAAAACAATCATACGGTGCTGTACTTCGTACAGTTCCACTAAAATCGGTACCAACAGTCATTCTTAGGGGAGGTGGCGCACAATTCATTCAGCTTCCCCAAGGTCACTTAAGTGAGATGAGATCACAAAGCTGACCTAATATTATGAATAGGTAAAATTAAGAGTAGATATTGAAGTTTTAATGACTCCACTTCCTTTATTGCAGTAACTCTGTACAAAGCAGCAACTGCAATACTCAGGGTTAAAACATTACAAAAGCATCTGTGACAGGAACAGTACAGTATTATCAAAATATTACATTTTCAAACTTAGCAGATAATCATCCACCAGAGCTCAACTCTTTAAATTATTTCCATAGTCTTAAAAAAAACACGCATGTCAGAAAGCAATATGAAAAGAGTGTATAGGAAAACTTAAAGCACAAAAGAAACATTGCAACAAATAAATATTTGATTCAGTAACTGTTAATAATCAACACCAACATTCTCTGTGAACCCACAAATTCTTTACCCATCATAACAATGAGTTCAAATGCCACTGCATAATTATCTTCAAGTTATTATCAATGATTAGGACTAAAAAATAATTTGGCATCAAAATAATCAAAATTCAGCATAAAATAAAAATAGCTTTAATACTAGCTAGCATCTCCAAGAATTGTTGAAACTTATTTTAGAGTACTACCACAACCTTGAAAATGTCTGACCTGGTATCTAGTGTTAAATGAATGTAACGTAGTTTTTAAAAGAGGAAAGCTTCTTACATTGTTTCACAAACAATATTACCCTCCCTATTAGGTGTACTGAGATCCATTTTATGTACTTTATACACAAATGTATGATGTATGACATTTAGTTTCTGTAGTACAGATCACAATCAAGTTTTCCTGAATGGGGAAAAACCTTTAAAAATAAAAGGCAAGTGTACCTGTGTACATTTCAAGACAGCAGCAGTCAGCCTGGACCTTATTATCCATTCAGAAAAATCATGCATGATATGGTTTATTGAATATGACACTTCTATATTGCCTTCAAACTCTGCAGAACTTAAAATAAATGGAACAATGTTGTATTATAATGTATGGAAAAACCTTAAAAAAATCACTTAACTTCATTTTTTTTTTTAATTTTCTGAATGGAAATGACCAGACATCCAGCTGGTATAAACGTAGGTCATATTCATGCAGCAGAAGTACTGCACCACTGAAAATGCTTTCCTAACACTTAGCTCAAGATGACGGAAACCTGCATGTTCTCCACCCCTGAAGCTGATCACCTACTCAGCAGCACTGGATCTAACTGGATAACCACATGAAGCTATACTATGAGCTTCAAACTGTCTTGGTCCTCCATGAGACCTGTAACCCCTTAATCTGACTTCAATGTTTATTAAAACAAAACAAAAACCTGTAATCTACTGAGCTGTGGTCACTTTCAAGTTGGAGACCCCAGTGACAGACATCTCATTACAGACATGCATGTGCACCTGTGCACGCACCACACACACACATACAGACGTGCATGTGCACCTGTGCACACATTGCACACACACACAGACATGAAGACACGAATCCCTTGAAATGTGTTCAGGAAATCCTTCCCCGGAAAATGAGAAACTTCACATTAAAAACTGTAGATAAAGCTTCAGGACAGCACATCACACTGTCAAGTGCTTGAGTAGGCGACAAGGTCAAACGCACAAACTGGCAGTTTTCTTTAACACAGAAGGTTTAAAGTATTAAGAATGGATTAAAATTCAATGCTCAGAATAATCTGTTCAAACCTGAGTGTATTAAGACTAAATGTACTTGACACTTGAATAAATTAAGCCTAAAACCATTTCCACTAAGAAAACAGTGGTCCATTTAACCATTGATAAAATTTTAAGTGATTTTTTTTTAAAAAATAAAGGATGGCATAGGCTAGTGAAGCTCCTGTAGTGTTTATTGAAAATGTTCTACTAAATGGCATTTCTTTGTCTAAATTTCCTCCAAAAACACCTGTCAGCATGTCTTAAAGTCCCTCACATTTGAGAGGAATTCTCAATTAGAACACATCGTTTAAAAAATAATACAAATGATCTCAGATTTTGCTTGAAAAAGGACATGTGACTTTTCAGCATCATACAGGAAATACTGGGTAGAACCTCACCCTTCTCTAAGATTTACAAGAAATAATACGTAACTTCAATGGAGTTAAAAATGGTGTTTTGGGCCTCTATTTCCTAGCTCTACATGTACACATACTCATAGAACCCTAAACTTGGGCTTCATTGTTTGGATACTTTCCCCCATGTATTTTATTAGTTTGTCCTTAGTATCTAACAGATACTTTTACAAAAGTAATACAAAACACACAGTACTCAGAACTAACTGGTCAATGGAAGATGAAAGGAGTGTCTACTTAAGGTGACATTAGAAATAAAAATATCTGAAGGCAAAGTTTAACATTCTATAAATTTACAAAAGACAATAGATATATGGATGAAATTTGGTTAGTTTCAGAAGGCACCTCAAGGCTAAAGGCTTTGTACTCCTTTCCTCACTCAAACAATAACACACTCTTATTGCTTTCAAGTAGCAAAGGACAACTTTACTCTCACGAACTTCAGTCCGACGGGAGACTAACCAGTCACTGAGACTGAGATGTGGAGTAGAGCAGAACTCAAGTCTACGTATATCTACCAATGGAGCAACTTTTCCCTGTGCTTTCAAATAAAGAAGACTGAAACAAAGTCCCAGTTCACCAGTGTGATAGTAAGGTGTTACTGACGATTTCAGCGCTTTCGCTAGGCACTGAAGTACCATTCCTGGAGGGCAGTCCATGGTGCAGAATAATTAAGAATAGAAGGTAAGGACGCTCTGATGATTTCCACGAACTAGGAGGATTGGTGGCAGGTCTTTAGACAGAGCTTCTAACCAAGCCATATACAAAGCACTGGACACAGCACCTTTCCGTGCAACTGGGAGACTCCTAGGATCAGAATGAGAAGACACTGAGCGATGCTTTGAAGAAGAAAATGAAACAATTATTAATTAGATCCCAATTCCCATGATAAAATCTGAGTGGAGGGAAACTGCATATATACAACAATAATTAGTATACATACTCTCATTTCACTTATCCTCAGATTCAATGGATTTTCAAACAGTTGTCCTTATTCGTAAGTATTTCTGTGAACTTCAATATATGTAATTCATATTTATTATTAAGAATAATAACATTACTATTCAATCAAACTTACTCTTCGCTAAGGACAGGTTTCTTTAGAATAAAAACATATTTGTATTAGAAATCACACAGTGGAAGTTATAGGTGAAAAATGAAACATAATTAAATATGTGTTAAATTTAACTTTTCTTGTGAATTTTAATTTCTCTTTATCAAGCTATTTATAGACCTATAAGGGTTTATAGAGATATTCATAGACCTACAAGGATTCATTCTAAACTTCTATGGTTTAGTGTCTTTCACTATAGAACTCTACAAACCATCAGCAGAAATTGAAAACATTGGGTTTGGAGTTACCCTAACAGTTCCTTAGCACCAAGGCATTTATTTCATCTTGGTTTCTGGGTGCCTGAGCTTTTCTTATCTGTTTAGGGTCTCAGAACTGAAAAAAATCCAGGATCACATCATCTCTAATTAACATAGGTCCACAGAGGAAAGGATTGGGTAGGCTCCAACACTTCTATCTAGTTCAGAGACAGCATGTCTGCATGGAAAACACTTGCAAGGGAAACATGGGGGTGGGTTCAGGCATGAACTGCTGTACTGGGTTAATATTCTAAACAACCTTTCACACTTATCTTTATATGACAAAGTTGCCTGGGGTCCAAATCCTACTGTGAGCCCCTCCTGTGCCACCCACACCTGTGGCCGTGCTAGGGAATTTTGAAAAGGTGAAAAAGAAATCAAAGAATATGAATGTAAAAGTTCAGAATAACCAACCCAAACAAACTACTCAGACTGACACAAGGGTACACAGTATCTCTTGTTCATGCATAAATGCTAGCTCCACATACTGAAGGCAATCACATTTTAAACTTTGAGTTTTCCTTTTTATAGATAATAGTCTGAGTACTTATTTACTGGGCCTTGTAGTACAGGACTGAAATTCCAGCACTTGGGAGGTAGAGGCAGAGTCAAGTTTAAGAACAGCCTAGGCTATAAATTAAAAACAAAACAAAAAAGCAAACCACCCGAGCTGTGACTGTTACTGTGGAACCAACTGCGTTCTTACTGGATCTGAGGCCTGCTCCAGAGGACGGGAATCATGGCTGGTCTTGTAATCAGTGTCAAAAGCTCCTGCCCAGGATGTCACTGGCCCTAGGGGTTAACTTACTTCTATTGTTTTATTAAACAGTTAGGTAGACAAACTACATTCTAAATATCCATATTTAGAAGTGCTGCCCTCAACTGTTAAAAAAAAGCTTCTCATAGAGGGCAGTAGTTAATGCAGAGACTCCTAACTTGTCAAAACACTGAGTAAACGACTGAGTTCTTGGTCAATAATGGGCATCTCTTATCACACAAGTGCCCTCCGCTTCCAGCCAAGACTCAGAGAGTGCTGAGGAAGAGGAGGAAGAAGACAGTAGGAGCCAGAGGGCAGGTAGGAAGTCTGTGATAGGTCACTTTCTGGAAATGACAAGGCCACTGCACATGAATGCACACTGATGTGGCTATCTGCACAGGTCAAAATTCCATCATGAACTGGGGAGGGGTCACAAGGCCCCAGGCCCTATCTGAGAAGCTACTGGAAGTTAAAGGCTGCTTTGGGAGGGACAGTCTTCTTTGGGGGTTGCTCACTGAGAGGTTGTCCCACATTCATACACATATGGGCAGCAATTAAGAGCACACACTGCTCTTTGGAGGGCTCAGGTTCAACTCAGCGCCTACACAAGGCAGCTCACAACTGTAAACCAGCTCCAGGGACTCTGGAGACTCTGGCCTTTCCAGGTATGTATGCCACACTCATATCCCAAAGAACCTGGAGCAGAACCTACTGCCACGACTTTTCTAAACTAGTCAACTTCTAATTACATTCTAAGTCCTTATCCTTATGCAGCTCACTCATGAAGAAAGCTTTTTTTGTAACACACAGAAACCATTACAGACTACAACTGGTCACAATGCATAGAACAACTGACTTTGGAGCGCTCAACCCCACTTGATACATCCACAACCACAACCCCTATACCTAAGGCTTGGGGAACATGATTCAAGAGGGGGCGGCAAGATTGTAAAAGCCAGAGGACCTGGATGTCTGCATTCTATATCAAAAGGAAGTTGTGACCATGAGATAAGACCTGAACAGTGACAACACAAGCTGACATGCCAACGTGCATAGGAGAAATGCCGTGAGGCATCACATGAGATGAAAAACTAAAGGCAATTAAGCAAATTAATTTCAAAATAATAATTAAGTAGATTAATTAAAAAATCCAGGGATGAGTCCCCAGTTATAAAGGCTGACCCAATTATAAGTGGTCAGCCTTAAAAACATGCATATGAGCAACACTATGTATGTGCATATCAGTTTATTATAACAATAATTATTTAGTAATTTATTATAACTAAAGAAAAGTCACAAATATGAGAGGAAGAAAAATAAACAGAGGAATTGAGAGGAGTATGATGTAAATACATTACTCATGAAATGCTAAAAAGAACGTTTCAAAAACCATTAAGTACTGTTACAATAGAGACACAGACACATGCACACACCTTCATGAAAATAGTCCAAACCTTATTCCAACAATACTTACATGACAATAATATTGGCTGTATTTGAGTGCTCCTTTAATAATTCATTTAACCTGATCTGCCGGTATGTCTGAAATGGAAAAGGACAGAATCATTCCTAAACATCTAACAATTAGAACTGTGAACAAGGGCAGACTAGCTCAGTAACCAGTGTGTAAGCCCAGGTAGCTATGTGCTAGATCTTTAGCACTACGAGAGAAAAAGGAGGCACAGGAAGGAGGAGGAACGGGAGGAGGAGAAAGAAGAAACCACTATGGTTTGTAAAAACAAGTAGCAAAAACAAATTTTGTATAAAAAAAAAACACTATTTAGAAAAATATTTGATGCTGCTTCTTAGCTTCCCACCATTCAAATATAAAACACCCTTAATGGAGGTTTAGCTTACATAAGCATTTGCCTCTGTTTCAAATCATAGTGCTTGGTATAGCGAGTCTATGAAATCACATGTAAGATTAGTGAAAAGGAGAGTGAAGACTACCTTGGTCTTATAAAGCTCAAGCTCATTGTCTGTTATTCGCCAAGGCTCGTCTTCCTTCATTTTATCTGCAATGTCCTGTTCTTTGTCATCTTCATGAAGTCTGTATGGCTCAATCATGTCCTCAAAAGCAGCAATACTTGAAAAAAACAGACAGGATACCGACAATTTTATTTTGAATTATACATCACAAATAACTTCAGTAGAAATTATAACTTGTTACAAACTTGTAATCATTAGTATCACTGGGTAAGGAAACAGTAATTTCCAGTCTCTCAGACTGCACAGGCGTTAGTAAGGCTGGAGCTGGAGCTCGCGTCATGCTGTCTGCCCTCGCCTGGGTCAACCTCAAATTTAAGAACAGCACACCAGCCAAGGTGATTCCTGAGTGATCCGTAAAACACAGCAAATCATTCCCAACTCAATGTAAAACATCATCTTTGCCCAGCTCTGTAACTCATTTAACACATGCCAAAAATTAGTTATTCCCGATAAAATGCATACAGACAGTAACTGCCTCTCTGTGCCATTTTCAGGAAGACTATTTATTCCAAGAGTAAAAAGTGTTTGAGTAAGAGACTCTTGACGGCCAATATTACTGGGAAACTCAGATTTGCACTATAAAAGTAAACAATGGAAGTAATACACATGTAAAGTTAGAATCAAATGCTTTTAGTGACTGTGGGCAAGAAACACCTGGAACGTAAAACCTCTGCAATTTCTGGGGCACTACCAGTTTTCAGAAAGCATGTGAGAAGAGTGAGCCCCTTCTGAGAACTCAGTTCTTTACGGCTTACTTCAGTATCACTGGCCACCAATTACCACATGGTTTCACAGAACTCGGGGCAGAGAAAAGGCCCTGATAATCATTCCAAGTTAAATTATCTGTGTCTGCACATGCCAAAAGAGTTGGAAATTTATACAGAATAATTTATCCAGCAACTTACTTTTCTTTATTTGGTTTGGTGTTGATATCTCCTAGGACCATGATATCAGAGAAATCTATTCGGAATTTACTAAGTAAAGTAGCCATCCTATGACAAAAAAAAACACAAACCAGCATTCAGACATGCAAAGGATGTTAAGTATTTTTACTCTCTACATATGTGATAAGGTGACTTAAAGAGAAAGTCTATCAGTTGCTACACAAACGTCCTGAATTAACTCATATTCTCCATTAAAAGAAAGCACTGAAACTGCCTGAGTAGAGATGACTATCATCTAAGTCTCTATCCCTGCCTACTATCTACGGTGGTTAATCTTCACTCTCACCTGGACTGTATTTGAAATCACTTAGGAGACATACTTCTGCACGTGTCACTGAGGAAATTTCCAGAAAAACTGAGCAGTGTCTTCTGTTTACTGCTGCACACTGTAGCCAGCATGCCTTCCCCCATGCTGTCTCTGCAACCTAAGCCCACACAAACACTCCCCTTTCCCACGCTGTCCCTCAGGCACTCAATTACAGCCTAAAGGGCTGAGCCAGAGCTACCCATAATGCCATGTGACACCCAGCTTGATAAAAAGTAATTTTAATCAAGGCATATTGGAAGGATATATCTGATAACAAGCCTCTTTTAAATTATTTTTGGGTTACTACCTATTGGATTTATGTTAAAATATCCCCAGGCCCAAAAAAAAACTTAAGGCCAAACTGAAGATCCAGTTCATGACAGAGTAGTTCACAGTGTTTGCTTTTCAAGTGGTCAGGGGAAGGAGTACGACAAGCCTGGCCGTGGCAAATAAACACCTCGTTCAAGGTCTTGTGTGAGGGGGTCATGTCAACAAAAGGCTGAAACACCCAAGAAAAGCAATCAATAAAACAAGATCCTATGTTTTATAAAATGGCAGCTTTAGAAAGAAAAATATGAGAAATATGTCTTCCATAATTCCCTGTTGAAAATGAATACCTAATTGAATTCAGTATCTCTTAGTCCCAATCTGCTAAGCATTACAGAGCCCACAGAACTAAAATTTGAGAAAGTGATGCAAGCGGCCTCACATGTTAACTGACTGAGGAAGGGAATGTGCAGGAGAGAGAAAGGGAAATATGGTAAGGCCCAGCACTGGAGAACTAAACCGGGTTCAAGAGAACCCAACATTTTGTTGTCTAAGTTTCCTCCAAGTTTGATATACTCCATCCTACATAGAAACTCCGTAAGCAGGAAGGCAAACAACACAAAACAGTCTCAGAAAGTTCCAGAAACTGACCATATTCACTGGGCTCCTCCTTCCCAGAGATGCCAAGCTGCCAGGAAGAGGGTTAGACCAGAGTCACCGGCAAAGGGCACAAGGGCACTCTCCCAGTGGTCGAGCTGCCTGCGGGCAGTGCAGTGGCTGCAGGTTTCCAGCTTTCAGGAGCTGTCACCACGCTGGGGTGGGCCTTGGTTATGCAACTGTCTTTGAGTCTTCTCTGCTCCTAAGAACCCCTCAACCATACTCCTGTAAGTAGTCCCAATAAAACTCAGTGTTTCACCAGGCAGGACTGTGGGAGTGTCCGTGTGGTCTTGTCATGTGCTCCTTAGCTGGGGTGAGTACATGTGTGTGTTGTGTCTCCCCAGGAAAAGTCTCGCAGTACAACACATTTCCACAGATGAGTGAGGCAAAGGAAGAGCGATGTGTATAAGAAAGAGATAGAACAGGTAGACCAAAAATGCCTGAAATCTCCCAAATGTAGACAGCATGCAGGGGTGGGGACAAGACAGAAAGGGAAGAAACAGACTGTCAGAAACCTTTATGCCACACGGCTGCACTCACATGTCTAGGCTACAGGACTGTGGGAGGATCAGTCACAACTCTCAGACTTTCTACGTGAAAGTGGGAACAATGTGTGCAGTACCCTGCAGGGACAAGGCCAGGAGAGGAGCACCAGAATCCAGACTCACGGCAGTACAGATGGCAATAGTATGCTGATGTCTTCAAAGCCATACAATTTCTCTAGATATGAAAAGGCAATTTCTATGCACTTTCTCTCAAATGATTAGAGATATGCTTCTAACACTTGACAATACAGGTATTAATAAAAACTTTCTAAAATGTCAATGTGTTAGTCTATCACATTTAAGTAAAATTATGCACTTATAATTTAAATATAAATGTCAAAAAATAAAGAGGATGAGGTTCTATTTAATGAAAATTTTGCAGTATCAGTTAATAATACTTCATGGTCTATATATGGATTTTATTTTATCAAATCTCTATCATGTCAAGGCTATTTGATTAATGCTCTCCAACTTAAAACGAACTTACGCTCTCCGGTCATGGTCTATTCTGTTTATTTTTCCACCAATGAATACTCGGATCTTACAATCTTTCCACTTTTTCTTGGTAGTCAGAAGATAGGGTATCAACAAGGTCAAACCTGAATTACAAAAATATAATAAACTCTTTTTAAAATGCTTTTATCTCAAACAAAAATATTTATTTTCAACTTGGTCTCAAAAACCACATTTATTATATAACTCAATGTAAAGTAAAATTTGTCCTCCCCTGACAGTTCTGTCACGGAGGGAGTCCAAGGGAGTGGTTCAGCCCAAGAACTGCAGTTCTTTATGTAAGCAGTAGAACTGGATGGTGGCCTAGGGCACTCAAAAAATTAGTTGTGGACAGAAAGGGAAAGGAAATGAATATAGCCTAATGGGGGCAAATTTCACATTGAAATGAGAAAGACGAAAAGTTATATGGAATTGCTTCTTTCAAGCTCTAGATAGTGCATACATGCAAACATACATATTATATATATTCCCCAGCTTTCTCCCCTGAGGGGGCCTGGTAACGAAGAATTATCCTAGAAGTCACAGGCATACTGCTTCTAAGTACTGCTCTTGACTAAAAGGTCCTTTCCATATAGAGGAAGGGATAAGTCTAGGATACCATCTTATTTCAGGAAGCAACTGCCAAAATGAGTGCCCTACGACACATGGACATATTAAATCACCTTAGGGAAGTGAGAGATGACCTTGCTGGCTGGATGTGGACAATCAGAGAACTAAACAAATGATGACAGTAATAAACTATATCCTTTTGGATAAACCAAGAATTAATGACTCGAAGAGACGAGCTCTTCTTTACAATGAAATGCCGACCAATCGATGAGGACAGAACGGTGGGGGTGAAAACGCATCACCCGGAAGCACAACAGTCGTTCATAACCTGAGCGACTGAATGTGAATCCGACTGTAACGGCTGAGGAAGAACGGTCTATTTGCAGAGCCTCCCAGGAACCATAAGAGGGGAAAAAACTTTTCAAGGGTAAGTCTGAAACACCACACTTTCCTCAACAACTTACTTTACACCAATATGCCACTCTTGGCCAGATATAGGCAGAAGAGAGCAGTATCACTTTTGTGCTATTTCTGCCAAAGATTCGTAATATGAAACTAATTCTGACCAATCTAACTGCACTCCAAATCCAGTGACAGTCACAACCTGGTCTGTAGTAGTTAACAAAATGGCCCTGTCACACGCTCAAGAATGGACTAAAACAGCCTGAAGGACCCTGAAAGGACGATGCATGATTCTCACACTGATTCTTGTGCTGTTGGAGCAGGCTGCAAACCTGAATGTGGTAAACACATGAAAACTGTATGCCGTTTCTTAGCACTGTTCTTACATATTCAGTAAATTTCTAATTATTTAAAAGATGTATTAATGGCCTTACCTCCATCATCAAAAAGCCACCAGACATCAATAGTATTCTTTCCTTGTTTTTTCTGGAACTGTGTACTGGCTTCAAGAAGCTTTTGGTCAGCTACATTTAAAGGTGCAACAGGATCTTTGGATTCTAAAGGAGTAAGCAAAAAATTACGACATATAGGAAGTAAATGTCAAATCTCCTTTTACTATATTCCTAGAATTTCCTAGCATTTCTAAATTCAGATATATTTATATACAGATAGCTGTATATGACTTCCATTATAAGCCAGTAGTAGCTTATAACAGATTTTTAAAAGTACTTTTTGTCTTATAATAGGTAAACTCACCCAAACTACCCAAGTGTCTAGTATTCTGAAGTATTCTGGTGAAATCTGCAGGAATGGTAAATACTATACATTTACTGATGGAGTTCAGTTTTCCTGGAGAGCTACTTTAGGTTAATAGATCAAGCCTTATACTATACTTGTCCTGTGAGGTTTCTTTTATTATCTGCTATCTCAATGATTTAGAGTTCAAAGGCACTAAATAAAAAGCTGTATTTGGAAGATGGTTGGATAAATACTAATATATACTCTTACAATTACCAGGGAAGTGTGCTTATTAATCATTTGTCCCCTCAATATGTGATACACAATGTCAAAGACATATAGCCACATCTTTCTGAGTCACAGACAGATGGTAGGAACTCCTGGAAATGGTACAGATATGCTGCATGTCTGTAAAGAGTTCCAATTTACATTTCTAGGAATTAAAAAAAAAATCAGCATTGACTCTGTGAGCAAGCAGATGACTATTATGAAACTCCACTACCACAATTTTAAAAACAGAAATTTACAGAAGGAACTCTGGTCCTTTTTCCAGAAGGTCCATCATTCACTTTTCATGCTGCCAGGATGTAAGCAAACATGACAAATGATTTGCATGATGACGTAATATGGCTACCAAACCGCACTGCTCCGTAACTCTCACCTCTATCTCCTTCTCTTAACATTCATGTACGCTGACATGACTGTATCTCCCAAACGCAGCACGACTGTGAGAAATAGTGCAATTTTTGAAACAAAAAATATATTAGTATCAAAACCGAGAATTTGGCTGGGCACAGATGGTAAGGAGTGTGAGCGGCACTGTGGACACGCCTACTCGGCGTCCCTGCTTACCGGACCATGCAGTTTAAATCAGGAAAAATCCCAAAAAACAAAAAACCCTGACTTTTCAGGTTTGTGTATTTTAGAAACACCATGACGATTCAAAAGACTGAAATAACAGTTTGTCCCAGTGAGACTTAATGCTTTCATTGGAATAAAATTAATTTTACTAATCTGCATTTAATAGATAACTGTAATATCACCTCACCATGGAAATAAAAACTAAATTAAAATAAAAGGAAAACAATAGAGCTGGAATTAGAGAGTTAACAGTATGAGAAGGGGATTAAAATAAAATGATGAACAATGCCTGCCTTTTTTCAACAGTGGCTGAGTTGGAGTCTTGCCATCCTCTTCCTCATCTAGATTATGTTTAAAAAACACAAAATATGAAGTTAATCGCCTTTATAATCATAGAGTAATGGAAATGTAAATAGAGCACATTATATACAAGACAGTGTGAAGAAACAGCCCATGAGAAATGATTACTACTGAAAGTTAATATTTTCTATACTGAGTGTTTAATATTTTTTAAAACACATATTTTTATAAAGACCATACAGAGTGAATGATGAACACCCACACTGAAATTTTATATCTGTAAAATTATTCAGAAGAGCCAGCAGATTTTGTAAACATTAAACTTTATACTTGAAAATTAGCTGAGAATGTCAAAGCGTGTAGAGTGGATGCATGACTCTGAGCGACCACCTTGGCAGATCATACACAAGCTTCACACAGGTCACTGCACCACTACACAAACAGCTGAACACACCTGGATTGTACACGGCAATCAGAACTTGGGATATTAAGGAATTTCATCAGAGTAAAATGCCAGTTTATAAAGGAATTATTTTCTTCAAATAAAGTTTATGTACACATACATATGTGTGCATATATTCACCAGCTTATATTCAAATATTTACCAATTTGCTTTCTGGGGTAATTAGTTTTTCTAACTCCTTTTTCCCCCATAAATGTAAATTTACTTGTTTAAAGTAAGCAAACTCGAGACTTAAAAATTTTAAGAACATTTTGCAAAAGGATCCTAAGGAAGATTCCCAGCTTTCAACAGTATCTCTCACACTATCCTCTGGAAACCAGACCTGGTTAGTTGATGCCTTGCTTTCTCACTGGTAGAAATGTATCTACCCCTTAAGGCTGTGAAACTACAAGCCCTGCTCAAACACGCTTAGGCTGGTACAAACTAAGTACTTACAGGGTATTCTCTTCTTGTCCCTTTGTACACTATATGCCTCAGTAAGCAAGACAGATAAAACCAATACTTTGACTATATATTGGAATGTTCCTAATCCTGAAGAGTATTTTTTTTTACAAAGTATCTATTTTTCTTATAATATCTATGCTGATTTTGAGAATTTGTCAAATAGAAAACAGAAAAATCAACCTGTATAACTGTTACTTTTTATGCATGTTCTGGAAAAAACTAATTAAATTTAAAATATTACTGTTATAAAGTAATAATATCTGCTTTTGAAATTTTAGTAATGGATGGTTTATATTCATTTAAAGGAGTTTATATGCCAAAGTCAGAGTGGCATTTAAAATGACTGATAATATTACCTATCTTTTCAGGTGTCTGAAGGTCAGAAGACAACTTGTAGGAGTCAGCTCTCTCCTTCCACTCTTTAAGTCCCAGGGATCAAATTAAAGTCATAAGACTTAGCGCAAATGCCTTCTTCCAACAGGGCCTTATTACCCACCAAAGGAACTCTTTAAGTCAGGCTAAATGCATCTAAAATTTTACAACAGAGTAGAAATGTACTAAACTAGTTTCCTACTTTTTAAAGCTATGAAGTTGTAGCACACATTGATAAGTTAATGTTTTATTACTGTCTTCTTAGATGTGAGTGCAGAGTAGCTTCTAGGAAATGATCAATACAACTGCATGCATTGATTCCTAATAGACTACACAGAAAGGGTCTGTTTCAGACAAGAAAACGGGGGAAGGGCAAAAGAATATACACATAAATTAAAATAAAATAAATGCATAACAAATGAGCAGAATCAGTTTATGGAATGCATAGAGAACACAAAAAAGAATAATAAAGCCAACAAGGACTGAGGAGAAATGTGTGCAGGTCACACTTTCTACTACTGCACTAGGCAATTACACAGGAAAGAAAAGAATAAAAAGCAACATTAATACTTTCAAATAATCTAAAAGATAAATTGTGCAGAGACATGGTTTGTCCAAGGCTATCAATTTCATAAAAAGATGGTAGTCATCTTAGAGAAATAAAAAGTACACTATGGCTTGATGATTTACAGTGCAGATTTCTTTCTTAGTGCGTTATCAGCTGGAATAGGACAGAGGAGATACGAGTCTCAACAGAGGTCGGAGAGTGAGGGTGGGAGAGTAAGATTTGGAAGTCATCCCTCTTCTTACGGCAGAACACACAAGCTTGTGGATGGAACTATCTGTAAGCCTCATGAAAAAGGACGTGCTCTTCCCAAGTTCAAACAAAAATATTTGAAAGCAAACTTCTTAAAACTCTATTAGTAATAATTAATTGGCATGGTTTCTGTTTTAAGGAAAGCAAACAATGTCTAGCTTAAGAAAAGGAACTTTGTAATGTATGTTATACTCAAAAGTCAATCCCCTCCACTTTAACACCAACTCTTGATAAAAATCTCTCTGAGTGGAAATTACCTTTATGTGTAATGGATTTTTCACCAGATGACTTGCAAGTATTTTGATCTGACTTTTTACTGCAGTCCACATTCACCACCACATCCTTGGTACCTGGGGATTTTTCTTGTGAAGATAGTAATTCTTCTGTAGATATGAAAGTATTTAAAACAGTATCAAAGATTGTATTTTAACTATTCAAAGTGACATGTCTTCATAGTAAAAAGGTAAACCAGTATCCCTTGTGAAATAGTAAGGTGTGATAAGTGGTTTCTTAAGAAACAACCGAAGTGTTTAAAATGATTGTCCATGTAAATATGTCAGTACTAGTGGCTAAGTAGGGTCCTGGGGAGTAAGTAATAAACATCAACTGGAAAACACATATAAAGACAATACAATACAAAATTGATAATCTGCCCATAATGCTCATCACTAATTTGTATGGAGGGACAGAAGCAATAGGAGATATGGGATCCAAGTGCCAGCACTACGCTAAAGGGTTAAAAGGATTCACCTCTTTACTGTTCAGGACAACCCTATGAGGTACATCGCTAGGCATTAACAGACAAGCAAACAGGCCCAGAAGCTACCAAACCTGCCCAGGCTACAAAATTATGGGAAAAGGCTGTAAGTTTTAGAAGACATCCACCTGGGCTCAACATCAGATACATCAGCAAAGGACAAGGCCTTCAAAGAAGTACTTCATAATGATCATAGATACACAATACTTTTAAAAAATGTTTCAGTCACATTCAAACCCCACTAAATAATAGAATTGAATAATACATTATTCCTGTGAGTGACAGGGGCATGGCTTCTAATTATGCAGTGTTAATGGGTATGAGTCAGATTCTCTAAACATAGTCATTGGTACAAGGCTTCTAATGAGGCTCTGCTAGATTCATTCCAGAGAAAGAAAAATACATTTTCAGCCAGCAAAGCGTGTTTATTTCATAGAGAACTCAAAGTGTTTCTTCAAAGTTGCAGAGTTGCAAAGTTACTCTTAAAGGTGAGCAGTGTAAAGTCAAAGAGTTTAAATCGATGAGCTGATTACAAGTTTTTATATGCTTCTTGTCTTTTTCAACTAATCTAATAATTTCATTAATAAACTGTATAAGGGGAAATAGTAACTATTCAGTACTTTTGAATTAGCAAAAAATTAGAAGGATATGAAAATTTCCATTTTCATAAAATCTGCAAGAAAGTTATACCTTAAATTGGGTCTTAAAATTGTCACTTTAAAAATACGTTAAATGTATGCATTGTATTATTTAACTTACAGCCAAAGTAGTGATGTAAGTATTTTAGTAGAGGTTCAAATATTTTTCTCATCCAATTTTTACAGCAAATTTGGTTGGTCAATTTACAATCATAACTAATGCCTGCCTTTCTTAAGTGTATGATTTATAAATCATAAATTCCATCCTCTCCATTAATAATAAATAATTAGCCATACTTTATGATGCAGACATTGCTGGCTTCTAAGCAAGTCTGATTCTAAGATGGTAATAAAGATGATGGCAATTATGAAAGTCAGTGAAGGACGTGCAACAACTAGGCACGATTTTCTAACAAAGTGATACATACTTTTGAAGGCAACCTCTACTGCGGAGCACTCACCTTGTCCCTGGAGGTGGGATATGTCCAGGCCCTCCTTCAGGCGGATAACCACAACTCCATATTGTATGTCGAAAGCATCACTGCGATGGAGAAAGGAAGCATCACAGAACCGTTATGCTCTGTAGGAAGTGAAAGGACCTATACACCTCTAAAATTACTGTCAGCTCTAAATGTCTGTTTTCTTCAATATGCTTTGAAAATCAGTCAGTGGGGGATGAATCATGTTAGTTCTGAATCCCACACCGTTCTTCTATAATACCCTTCTATTACAGTAATGTGCAACCTGATGCCCTGGTCAGAAGCACACTGTATACACAACTTCCCACGCCATTGCCTAAGTGCAGCCTAGCTCTCTGCACCACCTACTCTCTCTCAAAGCCACCTCACAACATACTTCCTAGAATTCACACCATCACCAAGCACCACAACTGACTCACGCAGCAGCTTTTTAGAGCAGGAACAGATTTGTTTGGTTGGTAATTGTTTGGTTGTTCATTTATTTAAATTTTATTTTATTTTTCATTATGTGTCTGTGTGTAGAAATGTGTACCTAAGTGTCTGTGAGAACAGAGGCCAGAAGGACTGGATGTCCCTACAACTGGAGCTACAGCCACCTGAAGAGGGTTCTGGGAATAGAACTTGGGTCCTCTGGAGCTGAGTGGTCTTAAACACTGCACCATCTAGCCCCCTCCATTTGCAAGGCAATATGACAGAAAACAACCATTACAGCAATTCTACTACACTTAAACTTAGGTATATTCCTTTGAAGTTAAGAGAAACATCTGCTAACTACCAAAGCATTTGGACCCTTTCAGGGCCATTATGATCGACTCCAACTACTGCTAATGTTAGAGTATCAATCCATTTCCCAAATGCTGCTTCTCTCCTAGGCTAATTACTCCATGGCACTGCTCTTGAGCCTGTGAAGAAAACATCATAGCCCGGCACAGCTCACATCTTTGAGAGCTCATCGTTTAATCTTTATTTCTACTGTCTGTCTTCTGAGGCATAGCATACACAAGGCACAGAACTAGACAGCTGCAGTGACTGTTCACCAGATGGTCAGGATGCCCCAGCTCCAGACTTTAGCCTTACTAAAATCACCTAACAATGTAAGGGTTCGTTTGTCACCTGCACGCATAACTAATCAAAGTAGACCTCCTCAAAGAGCAACTATGACCTCTGATCATTTCCGGAAAGACTTTTGAAATAAACTATGAAAAAAAATCTATAAACAAACCAGGAACTTTAGGAAAAGGGGCCACTGCAGTAAGTTCCAAGTAATCCCACCAAAATTCACAGGAAAACTGGCGTGTGAATTCCACCTTAAAACCTCTTTGCTAAAGGTAAGAGTTTCTCACTGATGTTTGTTTTTAAAGACAATTATTTATATGCAAAGTAATACTGTACAATAATAATGGCACTGTGAGAACTGTTAGTGTAAATGACACTGGTTGAGCAAATTCCATAATACTAGGAAAAGGAAGTACTTTTCAAGTTTTAACAAGTAAATCTGGTAAAAACAAAAGTTCTCTCATTGAATAATTGAATTCTACAAAACACTGGTAGGATTAAATATATACACAAAAATCTATGAACCAGAAAGGCAAAGTAACAAAGGAATAAAAAGAACCCACTAGACAAGCTGTGGGAAGGAAGTTACAGTGATGTGAAACAAAGCTAAGCTGCATGGTAAACAAGCAACCAGAGGAAACGAGAACCGTGAGCTCAGAACAAGACTTCAAGTGGAAAAGGCAAACAAGCACGTGGAGCTGCAAACAAGAGCAACTCAAAGGATGAAGCAGAGACCAGCGTGGGAACAAAAGCAAATCTCTGCACCTGCTCAGTGTAGGACATAATGAAGACCTTACAAAGCTGACTCTGTTCAGCTACTGCAAAAGCACAGGAAGAAGCCTACCAGCTTACACAGGAAGCAGGTACCTATACACACCCACTCTTGTTCACAGTAACACTTCTACGAAAAATTATTCAGCTGTTAAGAAGATTGAAAATGAAATTCACAAGTAAATTGATGGGAGTTGGAAACATGCATATTGAATAAGAAAACCTAAATCCAGAAAGATAAATATTGTATATTTCCTCTCATTTCTGGATGTTACCTTTGAATATTCACATATATGTGTTCCATTTGTAATGCCCACAGAAGTCGGGAATTTATTAAGGGGAGAAGTGGCCTTCAAGAATGTGGGGATAGAGCACAGTAGTATAAAGTATTAAGGGGAAGCAATAGAACAAAATGGGCTAAACGGGGGTGGAAGATGGGAGGCAAAGTAAAGAATGAAATATGGGGAGAGAGGGGTAATTAATATTAAAATCCTTTGTAAAAAACTTGGGAGACCTACTACTGTAGAAGCTTCATAAGATATAGATGTATATAAAGAGGTATAATGGTGTTACCCTACAATGAGGGGAGGCCATACCCCAATCTAACAAATTACCCAAGTATCAAGAATTAGGTTACCATTTTTTTTGAGTTGTTAGCCAATGGTGTCACATAGACCGCTAAGTATAACATGCTAACCGTCATAACTTGATGCTAAAAACCTATTGCTGAAGACACTACATACTTGAATCACAGACCATGGGGACACTGAGCGGACATTCATCCTTACTGACCAGATCTCATGGGGCTGGACGAGTCCATGACCAGTGCTAGAGAAAAGTAAGCCTCAACCTCATCGTTCATGAAAATCTGCACGCTACAATGACTGGCCTGGCAAGATAATGTCCACTGGTGCCACCTCAGAAGCCTCTCCTGGCAGTAGATGGCAATTAGCAGAGACCCCAATCTGGTCAATGTGCAGAGAACACACACTGGATGCTTAGCCCTAAGTCAGACATTCACAGCACACCCTTTGCCCCAAGGCTCAGCCATCATCTCTGAAGAGAGCATGAAAGACTGTAAGAGCTAAAGGGGAACTTCAAGGAAAGTTTTCTAGATAAACAGGAAAGCTGCACATATGAACTCACAGTAAAATGACAACAAGCTCCAGCCAGACAAAATTCCAAGACAGAGGGAGGACAGTGGACCTGTGATCCTACCACTAGCTGAGGAGGGGAGAGCAAGGCAGCATTTTAAATGGGATCCCTGGGAGACTGACCACACACTAGTTGGTCAAAAGAAAAAAAAAAAAAAAGGACTCCATTGGAAAAGAAGAAAAAAGAAGCAATCTCAAAGTTGAGTGGAAAGGAGGGTAGAAATGAAAGAGTTTAAAAGGATTTAGTATGTCTCAGATACACTGAAATTATTAAAGAAGTAAAAAAAAATACAACAAAAAGGTCAACAAACCATTTTACATACATGAGCTATTCTGTAGATGTATTTGCATCTGTACCTATACATAAGTACTTGTACATAGGTTTTATATGAAAAGAGAGATCATTATTGTCCTAGTAGGTCACCATTTTAAAACCCAAATAGTACATGAGGTTCTTTCTCATTTTTATGCACCTATTAAGAAAGGACTACATAGAAAAAACAAGGTAAAAATTCAGGGAATGCTTCAAAATTAGCATTTTTCTGTCAAGTACATAACAATTCTGAACATACTTACTGAAATAAGTTTATATACATGTCCACATCCCTCATATCTGCTTGTAACCAGTCTTTCTTAAATCCAAGGACAAGTGTGTTTGGTTTCATACGACCAAGACCAGCAGCCTAAAATATAAAACATAATTTCAAATACACACTATTTAACAAGCCAATTTTTAAGAGGTGAAGTATTTCCACATTTACAGGATTTTTTTTGTAAATTATACATATAAAATCGACCCCTAGTTACTTATACTAAATACAAATAAAAATAGATATTACAATGGAACACTTGAAAGCTACGAAATTCACTTTTGTATCTTGATGACATGAAAAATTTTGTACTTTTACTAACCAAAATAAGGTATTTAATTTAAAAAGAAAAACAACAGTTGCATTCCCCGCCTCCTTGATGTGTTTTGAGAACAGTCATTAGTTCCTAGGTGCACTAATGTCCGGAGTTCTGAATTCTTCCAATAGGAAACTGAATTCTTTCAATCATTCACATGTTCTTTCTGAAATCTGTTTGGTTCCTTCCCACAACAGTTCAAGTATTCATCTTGTAATCTCACCAAGAGCTACAATGCAAGCCAAGCATGGTGGGTGCATGCTAATAATCCCAGCATTCAGGAGGCAGAGCTAGACTGCCATGAGTTTGAAACCAGCCTAGTCCAGATATAGTGAGTGTCATGGGTTATATAGTATTTGAGACAGCTAGGAAGATCCAGTCTTAAAACACACATGGACACAGAAACAAAGAGCTGCAATTAAGCATGAGTAACAATTATCCCTCAAAGTCCAAAAGAATCTCTTTTCTGAGATTTTGTTTTATTTCTCAAGTATACTGAGAAATTATATCCTAGGAGGAGGGTATGACTTTTTAAAAATTGTGTTAAGGGCTGAGGAGATAGTTTGCATGAAGACCTGAGTTCAATCCCAGAATCTATGTAAAAGCCCATGCCTTGTGGCACACACTCGCAATAACAGTGACAGAGACAGGCAGATCTCTGGGGCTCACTGTCCAATCAAACTACACAGACTGGCTCGTTCCAGTAAGGAGTGAAAGACACTGTGTATTAAGTCCACACACGAACCTGCACATACAGACACACACGTAAATGAATCATGTTAAAAAGTTAACAAGTTTACCATGTTAAATAGTATTTATTGTGTCCACAATACTGCCAAGTAATACACCACTATTTCTAGAACCTTCTCATCACCCCAACCAGAAATTCTGCAACGGCTGTGTAACAGCTATTCATAGCTAGTCATGTTCTTCTCCCTTGTGGTCCTTGTGACATTTAATACACTTTTATCTGGTTACTTCATGAGCAAAATCCCACAACTTTGATGGTTAGCTTACTTCACTTAGCAGGCTGTCTTCTAGGCTAATGCAGAAGTGAGTACAGTAGTCTTTTCCTCAGATAGACAGGATCTTTGTATTTAAATATCCACGTGTCACACGTGCTTATCCATTCGTCTGACGATGAACACACTGGCTGTGTACAGCTTGTACCTTCTGGCTGCTGTGCACAATGGTGCAGTGGCAAATACCTGCACTAGAAAAATCTAACTGTTCCTTCAGTTTTTAGGGATAAATGCCAAAGAATGCAGCCTATCAGTTTATGCTGGCAGTCAACAAAGCACAGGTTCTCATATTTCTACGACCCCACTAACAGTATCTCACTGTGGTTTTGATTTACAATTCCTTTATAACTAATGTCAAAAATATTTTTCATGTTTCCTGGAGATTATTTAGTTTTATTTTTTACTAATTCTGTGTTTTATTATTATTATTAGAAGTTTTTGAATACATATTATGGATATCAGAACCTGTGGTAGTTTGGATGAGAATGGCCTCCATAGGATCATATATATGAATGTCTTGTCCCCAGTTGGTGAACTGTTTGGGAAGGATCCGGAAGGGTGGCTTTGTTGAGGTGTGTCACTGGGGATGGGCTTCAACGTTTCAAAAGCCTACACCAGGCACAGTTAGCTCTTTCTCTGCCTTGCATTTGTGGGTCAGGATATAAGCTCCAGCTACTGCCAGATCTCCATGCTTGCCTGCCTGTCTCCCTGCCCCCATGCTCACCGCACTGATGGCCATGGACTCACCTCTAAAACTATAACCCACAATAAACTTTCTTTTATAAGTTACCTTGGTCATGGTGTTGCATTACAACAGCAGCTACTAAGTTACTTAGTTACTAAGGCAAACCCTTTATTCACAGTGACTGGAACTTTCTCCCATTCCCTAAGTTGTTTCCATTTTCTTCATAAAGTCCTCTGTGGAAAACATCTGAATTCTGAAAACGTCCAATTTATTGCTGGTTTAAGGTTCATGCTTTTGGTGTCATAACTGAGTCTACTGTCAGATCCAAGGCCATGGAAAATTTAGCTCTGTTTTCTTTAATTTTTATGATTTTAGCTCTCATTTATGTTGATGATACATTCTAATTTGTTTTTGTCTAATGGTTCTAAGTAACATCTTTAAATCTTTTCTTTTTCAAAACATAAAATGAATTCAAATATTTATCAAAGACCTGGCCATGAGTCAGTGTCCTAAGTATTTCAGTAATTAAGGTGCAGAAAGTAAGGGACAATAAAGAATATCCCAACTTTCTTCTAAAATGACAACTATCTGCTGGGTGGTATAACACAGAATTCTCATATTTGTTTGTTTGTTTGTTTTGCTGGGTGGAGGCAGAGTCAATGGTGTTGAACAGAACCAAGCAGTGTTTTCAGTATCTTCAGGCACAACAGCTGTTTAACAGAGTCAGTTACAAAACAGCAGTGACTTGTTCATGGCACAAAATACTATCAAGGTCATGTTCTTGGGGTAAAAACCTATGTCATAATCCTGTTATAATGAAAATGGCACGTTTGTTTGAGTGCTAAGGATTAAACTCAGGGCCTGACACAAACAAGCAATGCATACTACCACTGAATAGTTTCTCAAAGTTTTGACTTTATAAAGTAAGGAATAAGCATCCTGTAAGACACTCTGTGTACTTACACTTTCAGTGGCATTAATGCACTAACTCTCTCTAGAATTACTCAATTTTTTTCACTGCCACATGTATCTCTTTCACCTTTAAATATTTCACTCAGTGTAGCTATTACAAAAGAGATATTATTTCCAATTCCCATGAAGCAGTATGTATTTAAGAAAATACTTTACTACTGAAAAAAAGTATCTTCTCCAGAAAACACCTCATTGGTGTAATCAGTTTTCAGATTCTATCCTTAAAGAAGAACAACACAATGCTTCCCTCAAGCCTCTCCTCCTGCAGTGCCAGCTTCGGACTTTCAGCACTGTTCTCTATGCACCTTGTGTCAGAACTTAGTGACAATAACCACATTCACTCTGTCATTTTGTATGTCATCACAACCATAACAGAAGAACGGGCTATACAGCTTTTCATTTTTGTCTTCTACTATTAAGAAAAATGATGATGACCTCACTTTATCAACACTTAGTACATCACAGCACACTCTATTCCTAGAGCCTGGTTACAGTATTGGATATAAACGTGTAGTATAAATAATTTTATTAGCAATTCCCAAATTCTTCTGATTTATGAATTCTAGAAGAAAAACAAGGTTTTTGTTTGGTTGGTTTTAGTTTTTCAAGACCGGGTTTCTCTGAGTAACAGCCCTGACTGTCCTGGAACTAGCTCTTGCAGACCAGACTGGCCTTGAACTTAAGAGATCCACCTGTCTCTGCCACAGCAGTGCTGGGATTGAAGGCGTGCACCACCACCTTGTGGGATACCAAAACAAGTTTTAAAAACACTGTTAGCCAGATTAAAACTGTAATCTCAGCACAGGAAACAGACACAAGAGGATCATATACTGTGATTCAAGGCCAGGTGGGTCAACACTATGAGGTCCAAGACAAACAAAAACCTTTTTCAAAAACAGCCTCCACCATCACTCAACTGTTTTAGCATGTGACCAATGAAGTCTAAGAAGATGCTAGACAAGATAATTTTAGGCTGAAATTATACGTAAGCAACTGAATTTGAAGAGTCATCTCTTTGGAATATTAAGAACAGTATCATTTTGCTATATAAAATAAAAGTTTAAAAATGGTTGGAGAATCAGATGTCTACTGCCTTTTTAAAAAGAAAAATCCAGCCAGGTGGTGGTGGCGCACACCTTTAATCCCAGCACTCGGGAGGCAGAGGCAGGCAGATCTCTGGGAGTTCGAGGCCAGCCTGGTATACAAGAGCTAGTTCTGGGACGGGCACCAAAGCTACAGAGAAACCCTGTCTCGAAAAAAACAAAAAAAAAAAAAAAAGAAAAAAAAAGAAAAAGAAAAAAAATCCAAAACATAAATCAAGAAATTAACCATACTAACATCTCAATGTTAAAGTTCTCATTAGCAAACTAGTGATTAAAATTCTGTAATGAAGGCTGATATCTGAATGCTAGTTTAATGATAAATTCTGATAGTCAAGATGAGCTAGACAGAAAGGAAGAAGAAAAATCAGAAGTTTAGAGTATAATTTCTTCTGAAAGAATCAACTACTTAAAGCCATATTGCTAGAATACCGTCAGTGAAGAAAAATATGAACGGAACACTTTCTGACAATGATTTAAAAAACAAGATAATCTAGTACTTATATGACAGGTTTCCACAAGGAAAAAGGGAAACAAGATCTTCCAGTGGCATTTACACTGAATTACTAACTCGGCAGAAGTAGGCTGCAAATAAGCAAGAACAACTGTCAGCTAGCTCCGCCCCTTCCAGGAGTGCAGTGCTAAGCTGTGGGCACACACACAGAATAAGTTGTGCTTATTCTGTCTTCCTCCCTCAGAGGAAACCCTCTTGATCCATGGAAAGCACGTTAGTTGGACGACGAACACTAGATTAGTTTGAAATCCTGCCAGATTACAAGGCTGTACAGCACACAGGCTTTCTAGGGCAGTGGTTCTCTGGCTTCTGAGGCTGTGCAGCTCCACTGCAACCTTCTTCACCATGAGAGGAAAAGAAATCTGCTCTAGTGAGTTCTCTTTAAGGAAGAATTCCTTCATAAAATTTATTACATATGTAAGTGGTTATCAAAATATTTCTGAAAGCTTACAAAAGCCAGCAGGATTAACTCATCACACACATCGCTACCAGATATAGTAGACACCTGAAGTACTAAACTATTACAAACTACAAAAAGTTATAAATCACAAAGCAATAAACACAGTTCAGACAGACGCATGAAATACACATGAAGAACTGCATGTATCTACATGTGCACTTATCACATATATTAATAATTCTATTGTTTAGAGACATATCCAAGTAAAGATTTTACAATTATTAAAAATTGCACCTCTATTTTTTCATGTACTTGTAAGAGCTGCTATTTTTAACACTGAGATTTACCCACATGGCTATGTGCAGTTTTCAACTATATGCAGAATTCTATAGAGTGATACACTTTACATTTTAATTATCTGATGTTTATTGAAATTAATTATAATTGTGTTAAGCTATTACAAATGATGCTGCTAAGTGGCAACAATGAAATCTTCTCTAGTGACCTCACTAGCCGTGTAAGCTGGCTAGGTTTCCAGCACCAGCCATGATTACTCTCCTGATTGAATCTAATTAGACAGCTGTTGGTTGCCTCCAACATGTGAGTGCCACTTATGCATATTTTGCCATGCTGGTAAAGTAACATGTTTCAGAAACATTGCAACATTGCTGAATTATTTATTTAAGAGCGCCTCACCCCCCTGCCTTAGCTTCTTAAATAGCACTTTCTGGAACCATGAAAGCTAGACTGTAGGAAAAGAGGCTTTTAGGTCAGACCCAGATCAAATCATCTAATTACCATGTCCTAAGTGAATGGTGTCATCAGCAATAAGGGCCCACCCTCAGTCCCTGAGAGACAACCAGGGGCTCCACCAATATTCTGTTTTGGGAGCTGATTAGACAACTCTAACTAACCATTCACAAGGTGGTTTCTTGTGCCTGAACTTAAAACTGCAGATTCATCTTTACATGGGAAGAGGTGTATGCGTGAAGTCTAGTCTTCTTCTATCACCAGGCTCTTGTCTAGAAGTGACTGTGGCAGTTCAAACACATCCAACTTCTCTTTACCTGACAGAAGTGGTCCTGGTCATTATGGCTGCAGAACTCCTTTGGCTCTAGTCCTGGCATCTAGCTTCCCTCTTTGATCTACATCTTCCCCTTCATTTACTGGCCTACAGCATATCCAGACACACCGCACCATTCTTTTACTGGCTATATTTCAGAATTAGTATGCTCCCATAATGTTTATGTTTCCCTTAAAATCTCAAAGATTTAAACTTTTAAAAGATTACTGATATTTTTCACAGTTCTATTTTCTGGGTTTCACTTAGAAAATCATTCTCTGAATATTTTATATATTCTCCTATTTTTAAAATTTGCATTTTATCTCTAGGCTTTTAATTCATCTTTAAAATAATGGTTTTGTTTCGATTTTTACTTAAGACAAGGTCTCACTATATAATCCTGGCCGGCCTGAAACCCATGGTGTAGACCAAGCCAGCCAAAAGCACAGGATAATCCCCAGCCTCCAAAGTGCTGAGCCCACAGCTGTGCACCACCGCATCTGGCTCTCTTTCTATTTTTTAGCCATGGAAGGCTACATGGAAGCCTATTCTTACCATGTATCCCAGGCTGGTCTTCAACCAATGGCATCCACCAAGCCTTGCTTCAAAATGACTTTTGCCCAGTCTTTGTAAGGACACATTTCATTCCTTTTCATTGACAGCAATTACAGACAACCTTTTCAAAGCTACCTGTATATGGTAAATTTTCTCATTTTCTGCCGTCATTAAATTACAGCAGCTTCCACGCAGCAGGGTAGTAATTACTTACAACCTACTCACCGCTTGTCTTTCCTAAAGTTTATTTATTCCTAGCCAAGCTCCAAAGATTATTCCTATGTTCTAAGAAGCATGCAGCAGAGCTAAAAATCTCACCTCACCTTTAACAGACAGTTCTAATCACAGCGCTTTTTACTTGTTTGGTTTTAAGATTAAGTCGGTAAACACTGTTTCAATTTATATCCCCCTATTATCTTTAGGAAAGTGAAAACAGAGTTCAGAAGTTAAGTAAATAGTTCAGTCCAAGATCCATAATAAGACAGCAACAGCACTAACATTTAAACCTGGGAATGATTCCAAATTTCCTATTGTGGTGCCTATAAAATACATAAAGTCTAAACTAAGAGCTAGTAAATGAACAAATACAAAAGACAAGAATTTTTGAAAAAACAAAATAAAAATGGCTATGACTCAATGTTTTAAAAACAAACCTGGTGGGTAAAGGAAGTGAGAAACACCTAACGGAGAGAGGTGAACGGGTAAAGAGAATTTTCAAATAGGCCCTTTGTGTCACCCGACAACACAACATTTCTGCAGATTTCTAAATTACAAAACGATTAGTGATTTGCTTAAAGATATTTTTAAAAAGATATAGACTACATGAATAATTAAGTAGAAAACATAAAAGCTTTAATGTGCAGCCATGTGAAAGACTCATCACCTGCATCAAATACTGGGCACCTTCTCTCAAGTCATCTGCATGAACCGGAGCATAGAAAGCCTTCATTTTGTTTTTAATAAGCCATCGCTGATATTTGGCTTGATCAATGGACATCTCTTTCATAGCTTGTCTTCGAGGGCCCTTTAAAACAAAATATCAGAATTTTTTACTTGACACACAATCCCTTTTACACTTAGAAAAGGTATCCTCTTGCATTGGTCTGAAAGAATGTGCTTGTGTGGATGGGGGAGAAGTGCAATAACACTCTCATTTTCCCTGAGGGAATTCTCTCTGATACCTAAGGTTATGCAAAAAGGCAGAGCACTGCCGGTGCCTGGAGAAGGGTGGAAAAAAGATTTTAAAACAAAATATTTCAATCCTAAATTAATGAGAGAAATTTGCAATTACTGAAAATGGAAAAGATATTACACAATGCAAAATAAAGCCTTCTATTTCTCTACAGAAAGTCTCCAATTTTGCTTTCTGTTTGGTCTAAGTGTCTGGGTTACTGAATCACAGTAAATTGAGAATATCAATGAAAAATCAAAGTAAGGCATATACTTCTATACTGAATCACAGTAAATTGAGAATATCAATGAAAAATCAAAGTAAGGCATATACTTCTATAAGATGAAGGAAATGGGCTTTGCTAACTCAAAATTACATTTTTTTTTCAAAATTCCATTTTGATACTTTTATACAATCTATAAAATTTGTTAGGCACAGACATATAAAACAAAACTTTGAAAGTATTTAAAAGTATATATCTTAAAAATAAGTATGTTAGGGGCTGGAGACATAGCTCAGTGGTTAAGAGCACTGGCTGCTCTTCCAGAGGACCAAGGTTCAATTTCCAGCAAAACAATTTCCCACAAAATTCTCTGTTTCATACAGGCAAAACAAAGTACATAAAATAAAAATAAATTAAGCTATAAAAACTAAAAAATATGTAGAGAAAAATATCTCCTAATAATGGAAACTGCCTTCTTTCTAACATCTTGTGCTCACGGCACTGACTTGAAGGCTAAGCTAGAGACAAACTGGAACACTCCATGTACCCTGAGTGGGGTCAATGCTGACGACAAACCCTCCACACAAGCCCAAGTGTGCACATGGGTGTTTGTGGTCTTGGCTTTGCAACCATACAAGAGCGACTGTTACAGGAATTGCAATACAACGAACAACATACATTCTGGCACCTAAATAATGGAGCAGAGTTTGGGGAAAAAAACAAATACGACATTCTAGTTTTTCTTTTTTTACCCTCCAATGCCTATCATTTATTTGTTACTCTTAAAAGACTTAATTTTAACTGGACTCAGATTTACAAATAGAAATTCTCAGTGAGGACAGCCTACTCTCTTGCCAATATGTTCCTGGCATTTTTGGTGGCTTCCCTTCATTTTCTTGGGCAGATGTTTAGCATCTTCTGCGGCCTCCTCATTTCTTATCACACTGTCTGTTCAGAGCAGTGTCACAGGGTGCATGAAGTGACGTTATGCTGTCTTGGCTGGTCTGGTCCTTCGTCGCCTACCTTCTTTAAGGGTTTTCTGACAACACATTGGCACACATCATTTTAGAGAGACCGAAAAGTTTTCAGGTTATGCTCGCTCTCTTGGACCCTAGCTGCTGAGGCACAGTACTTATTGTACAGAAATATCCTTCTTCTCTTTTTTACAGTAGCCAAGCTAACAGCTCTTAGGCTGTGTCCATGATGCATCTCAAAAAGACTTGTGCCCTCTCTCCAAAATCCTCCTGGATCTGTAGCAGGAATGCTGCTCACTCAATAGCTGGCAATGTTACTGTGGAGCAAGACACCTTGAGTCATGGGAAACTCTGTCATTCCCACTGACTTGGACCACAAAACCCTTCCAGAACATCTACAGCTACTTCTGTGACCATGTGCTCTTCAGGAAAAAAAAAAAAAAAAAAAAAAAAAGTTTGTCATCCACTTCAACAAGTATCCAACAATCAATGGCTGGGAAGGAAATAGTCACCTTCTCTTGACACAGCTGGCCAGGAGGTGCCAAAAAAAAAAACCAACCAAACAAAAACCTCACCTCAGCTCCAATGCACAGCGCATGATGCATCATTTCACAACTATTTTCAAGATTCCAAATGATATTTTTTAAAAAAGCACTACTTTGGGGGTGAAAACTTATTATAGATATTTTTCTTACTCCTGATTCAAATCACAAAGTATCTGTTTAAAAATGCCACTTTGTGACTTAAAGGAAAAAGCATTTTGAAGAAAACATCTAAAAAAATCCTACAAATTTGTCTAACAACTTCTAATCTACAAAGTTTGTAATTTACAATCCCGGTTGATGAGTGAAAGAATGATTTACTATAGAAAACAAAACTAATACATACCATATGCACATGGCCACAGATCATCAAACCAACATTTTTCGTGAAGTCATGAACAAGATGAAGTAAAGCAGGGCGCGAGTTTGGAGACCCTGTCATAACAAGACACTGTGGCCTAAGTTAAGATAAAATAAATAAAATAAAATTAGAACAGTTTGAAATCTGAAGTTTGTATGTGGTTTCTCTAGGAGAAAAGCTACAGAAGAACTTCAGGAAGATGCTGGCTATGTGGGACTGGAGGGATGGCTCAGTGGTTAACAGTATTTGCTGCTTTTCCAAAGGACCCAAGTTCAGTTCTCAGCAGCCATGTCAGACAGTTCAAGGCTATGTGTAACTCCAGTTGGCTGTCAAGGGCCCCTGGAGACACAGAGCACATTCGTACAGACAAATAGACATATATAACACAAATAACACCAAATGTTAAAAAAAAAACTTGTAAGAAATAGCATACCAGATACCCCTCTCAAACAACACTGAGTTTCTGGGAATGCCACAGAAATTACTATTTTGTTTAAGAATGAGATAATAATTTTTTATCTTCAAAGGTCATAAATGTTCCAGTCATTTCATAGATCCTAAAAAACTTACTGAGCACAACGAAACCACAATATAAACAGGTGAGTTCCATCTCAGCATAATGGCATCACTTCATGTATCAACCCTGTCTAATCCAGCTTACTTAAGAGTGCTGTGATGTAAGTAGAATCAACTACATGTTCTACTGGACTAAAATATTTTCATTCTAGTTAATAACCATGAATGCCAAAACTGCACTCAAGTATCTCTGCAAACATGAGCAGCTGAAAAAATATTTAGATGTTTTAAACTTGCTTTTTTTGTTGGCAACAGCAGTGCACGCCTTTAATCCCAGCACATGGGAGGCAGAGACAGGCAAATCTCTGTGAGTTTGAGACCAACCTGATCTACAATAGCAAGTTCCAAGACAGCCAGGAGTACAGAGAAAGACTCTGTATTGAAAAATAAAAGCTGATTCTCACTAACTAAAAGAGAAAATAAATCTTGTTTATATAATATCCAGGTATCAATTTATCTACCAAAACAGATTAGCAAAGTTCCTGAAATTAGCAAAGAGCTGACTGATTCCTAAGGTTAGGACTGGAAAGATGCTCAGTAAGGACTCCTAAGGTAAGAACCCAGAGAGGCTACGAGCACTTCCGGTTCTTGCAGAGGATGAGGGTTCCAGTACACATATGGCAACTACCAACAGGCTGACACTTGTTTCAGAGGATCCGATGCCCTCTTCTGATCCTCAGACATATATGTAGGAAAGGACACACATATACATAAAACAAAACTAAGTGAATCTTTAATTTTTTCTTTAATTCTAACTTAAACACTAATTTTTTGACTCATCCCTAAAATAATAAAAGTATTAACCAAGATTTAGAAATTTAGTGAGGTAGCTCAAAAATCAATTCTGTCTGAGAGGTGCTTTGGAGTAATCAAATGTAACGTTATGGCCCAGACAGCTCAGTGCCCTCTTCAGACTGTCTTGTCTCGCCTTTCAGCTTCCACAGGTAGCATGATTCTCCAGCAAAGGCCTCTGAGTATTTTACAACCCATAAGGTGTTTCTTTTTCAGACTATGCTACTTAAAAGTGAGTTGTTCCCCATACTTTCTTTCCTGTAAGCAAGATCATGGGTGTAGTGATGACTTTGATCACAAAGACAAAACAAATCTGGGGCAATAGAATGGCAACGCGTAAGGAACAGTAGTGCCACATGGCCAAATCTGCCTACTTGCCATGAACCATTCATGTCTGAACATCTGTCAACTCCTTCAACATTTAATTATTGCTTTTTAAAAAGCTTCTTGTTAGAGTAGACTCCCCCATAAACTATAATTCTGTTAAAGTGATAAAACCATGAAATTAACAAACCCACGAGTAACAGCACTACAATATTGAAAGGTATAAAGCAAGCAGCAGAATGGGGGAGCAGACCATCAGGAAACACTAAATGAAGAGGAGGCTGTGAAGCTGCTGATTCTATACTACAAGCGCAGCAACGCCGCCTAGAGTGCAAGGGTCTGGAAACAGCAGTGATGATGTGTTAAAGAAACCTGAATCAAGAACGTAAGAAGTCTACATAAGAAGCAAGTAGACTGAGTCGTCATTTCCATCACCATGGCTTCTTTATAAAGAGGACTCTGTGGTCCAGAAGACACTGAAATAGCTAGGGGCAAAAGTCAGCAATCTAAGCTAGAGGATTAGAAGCTGTTTATGGGCAAAACTCTGAAACCTTCACCTCCTTCCCTACCTAGCTTTCAGAATTCTGGTAACAAGGACATATAAACAGCTTAAAATATTCCTTTCTGAGAAATCTAATCAGATCAAACGAAAGCCTTAAAAATGACTTAAATTCCCTGAAGAATGGCAAAGCCGCATTAATCTACATTAAGAACTTGACTAGCAAGGAAGGCCTCAGCACCACCGCAGAACTTCTTTGTCAAGGAGCATAGAGACTGCACTTTAGAAGAACCCAGACTCAAGAAAAAGGAAACTATTAGAAAGAAACATCAAGGGGCTGGAGAGATGGCTCAGTGGTTAAGAGCATTACATGCTCTTCCAAAGGTCTTGAGTTCAATTCCCGGCAACCACATGGTGGCTCACAACCATCTGTAATGAGGTCTGGTGCCCTCTTCTGGCCTGCAGACAGACTATTGTATACACAATAAAGAAATTAAAAAAGAAAGAAAGAAAGGAAGGAAGGAAGGAAGGAAGGAAGGAAGGAAGGAAGGAAGGAAGGAAGGAAGGAAGGAAGGAAGGAAGGAAGAAATATCAAGTAACTCAAACTTTTGGCATCTTTGATGAAGGCTGAGATAAACACAAAAATTAAATATAAAAAGAATTATTAGTTTTAATACAACAACAAAGTAAAAAAATTATACTGTATCTACCATTTAACATCATAAAAATACAAATATTAAATATGAATTAATCAAAGTAACACCATACAATGTATTGCAAGTATGGGAAGAGTACATCTATGCATTATAGCCAGAAACAGAGAAAATAATGGCCAGCAAAAAAATCAGAAAGCACAGGAAGATAAATACAGCTTTATGGATACAAAGTGAACAGGTAACAAAGCAGTCAAATTGCAGAAACCGCTGCCTATGGTGTAAGAAAATAACATAGAGGATAGATACGGCAAGTATTGGTTTTCAAGGCAAAATTTTACAAACTCTCCCCTTCATGCTATGTCTATTATAATTTTTATAAAAATTTAAAACTACATGGGAGCAGAGACAGGAGTATACTGAGTTACAGAACAGTTGAACTATATAAATTATTAAACAGCAAAAAACCAAACTGGGATAAAAAGAACTTTAAAAAAATTCACCCAATTAAAATAAGTCCAATCAAGTTTTTACTGGCTTAAGACTAATTGTGACTTTTGTTCATATATTCATTTATATTACACAACTCACAAAATAATAATTCCTATTTTTCTGTCATATCAACTACCCAAAATACACTAACATTTAAGTTTTTCTATCAGGGTTCTCATTCTTTTTTTTTTTCTCCCCTCTCTCACTTGCAAAGCTGCGGTCTCTGGGAGCTTTTCATTTCAGAGAAAAGGGACAGTGGGTGAACAGGTGCCCAAAAGAGCAACATAAGGAACACACACAAATTCTCCTTCTCAAGAGAACAATTGTTTCCTGAAATTGTTTCTCCTCTTCAAAGATGTTCTCTGGAACAACTTTGTGTGTTCCAGAAAGTCAATTACAGACAGAAGCCAATGAAAGGTGATGACTCATGACCAGAAAAAGTCACCTCTTCACAGCTAAAAAATTTGATCTATTTAGAAAATATTATTTTATGAAAATATTAAGTATAAATAAGCTAAAAGGTCTTAGACTTACTTTATCTACATAATATTTCTGAATATAGAAAAGCATCTCTCTACAGTGCTTAAGCAGCTGGATCTAACCCACGATTGGCACTACATTGCAGAAGCTTCACTGGTGACTAATAGACTACTGACAGCCATTCTCTGAGGGAAGTACAAGGCAAGCACTCTGGCTAAACACAGTCGATCACTGCAAGTGGTTTCCACTTAGTTGCTGAGTAATGGGAATAACTCAGTATTATTTAGTCTTAATAAATTACAGAAATAAGTGTATCAAAATGAGCCTACAGCAGCAGGCACGGCTGTGCTCGCAGCACTCAAGCAGCAGAGGCAGGTGGGGTCTCTGAGTTGAAAGGTTGTCTGGTCTACACAAAGGGAGTCCCCGGCCAGCCGGAGTGAAACATATACATACAGCAAAACCCTGTCTCAAACAGATAAACAAAAAAAAAAAAAAAAACCCTTACAGGGGTCAATTACCAACACCCATATAACAGTTCACAGTTGTCTGTAACCCCAGTTTCAGGGGATCTAAGACTCTTCTCTGGCCTCTGCAGGTACCAGGCATGCAAGTGCACAGGCACAGACACAAGCAAAATGTCCATACACATAAAAAATTTTAAAGAAACTTATAAATAGTAATCAACATGAATGATTACAAAGAGAAAAAAATTATTTTTCTTTAAATGACAGTTCCAAAACTTTCATAACAGTTTGAAGGAAGACAAATTTTTTTTTGCATGATTTGATTCTGAATAATTAACAAACATCCAAACAAAACAGAATATCCTGTACTAATCCATACAGAAATGGTTTAAGAACTGAACGACTAGCGACCAGAGAACGCCTCCGTGGTGACTCGTCACCTACCTGAAGTTTTTCACGTGGTCTTCCACCCCAGAGAGACGAATTGAATGCTGCAGTGCACTCAGGTAAGTCAGGGCTTGAGTGGACGATCCCCAGTTCACATCTGTGGGAAAACAGGGTCACACAGTGTGATACCAACAGCAGCCAATTCAGACATATGGGATTGACAGCAAATAGGGCAGAATCTTCATGTTTATAAGTCAATTGTTAAAATAAAGCACTGTTCTATAACTTGGCATAGTTCCAGTATATAGAAATATATGAAGATATCATATCTGTTGACTCAATTTAAAAAGGCATAACCTAATAAGGGCATGATGATGGCATGTTCACATAACTCAAAACAATCTCTCAACAATAAAACATTTAAAATTATTCATTCTGTAGCTGAAGGCATATTTTAAGTACAGTAAATACATTCAAGCTATTTAAACATGAAAATGTCTTCTACCGTTGAATAAAAAGGTTGGTCCTTGATTGATTTTAGACACATTAATATATACTTTAATAGGTTTTTGAAGGAATAATTGCTCTTAAAAGTTAAAAATATAGCTCCTTTGCCCTTTCACTTCTAGAGCCACCGTCTGAATCCAAAAGCTCATCACTTCACATCCAGACCGAAATGTCTCATCGCTGCTGTAAACTGCTGGGCCTGCTCCTTCTCAGAGTATGCCAGTGGACCAAACTCTCCTGTCTTTTTTACGCCAGATCTTTTTCTGTACACTGAAAAAAATCCTAATAGCCCTCACCCTCATCACCTTACATGGAGATCTACCTAGACATCATCAATGTGGAAGATGATAATCACTAATTATTTCTCAGTTAAAAACATTCGTTATTAGCTGGGCAGTGATGGTGCACAGCTTTAATCCCAGCACTTGGGAAGCAGAGGTAAATGGATCTCTGTGTGTTCAAGGCCAGTTGGTTTACAGAGTGAGCTCCAGGACAGGGAAACCCTGTCTCAAACAAACACACAAACTATATATATTTACTTTCTTTGGGAAAGACACATCTTCCCAGTGCCTGAATTCCTTGCCATACAGCAGCTCTAAGATGACAAGAGGCTACATATGTGTGTGTGTCACACATGCAAACACACACATACATATTTCGCTAGTCGTTACTAGAGTGCTGCAAATCTGGAACCTTCAGGACAATTTTAAAACATAACTACAACAGAATGTTAGTTTATTATTATTATTCTTAAAGAAGGTTAGTCACATTTAATTCATGGGTGAGAATGAAATTCTATAGGAATAAAACATTTTAAATGTACTTTAAAAACAAAAATAATTATTTGGAAAGAAGGTTTTGTAAGTTTTACATGTAACACCTTTTCAAATATACAAAAGATGCTTGAATAAAAAGTAACAAGAATTTGTCGACATTTTTTAAGTAAAACTACTAAGCAGAAAAGACTACTGACCTGGTTTTTTGTAGGTAACATAAATATACAGTCCGAGAACTATCACGTAGGTGAGCAAGGCCGCCCACCAGTTAATGACAAACATGACGATGCAACACAGAATCGCTCCAAGAAGGGAGATCCACATGTTGTAGTACTTGAATGCAGGACGCCATCCTAACAATGACAGACAGAAAACGTAAGCAAGGTTTCCATCTGCTTTACACAGCGACACTAAATTATATATAAAATAGCTTTCATTATGGGTGCCACACTCAATATTAACTTCAAGGATAACATCAAACAATACAGTCAATGACTATTATCTTAATGACTGTGAAGATATTTTCCTATTACTGCATCTTCTCAGACCTTCAGTCAATACAATCTTTGAAATTTTAAATCAACCCATCATAGTGAACACTACAGAAGCACCATAAAAAGGAAAGACTTCATGTAGACTTGCTCCTGGGTGGAGCAGCTTTCCCCTCTGGTCATCGGCATGAAACACAGCCGTGTTCTAATGAATTTACTAAACATTTCAAACAACCTACCCATGTAACTAAATCTTGGTGTGACTCCAAGAAATTCATACCTTTCCATTAGTATTAGTTATATACTAATAATATATATATAAATTAATAAAATATAATGAATTAAAAACTACTCATAACCTTGTCACTAATAGTCAAAAATACTTTTTATTTAAAATTATTTCAATAAAATTTTATTTTGAAAGTAAAACTGAAGCTAAGACATGCGTTCATACTTCCTTTCCTTTTGAAAACCCCACCTGCTACTGGCCTGTTCTGTACTTAAGTCCCTCTGTACTTTCCGTTCTCTTCCTGATTTTAGCCCTGCCCCATTTAGAACACAAGCAGCATGGTACTTTTTCAGTTGACAGAGGCCCCTATGCTAGAATTCTACAAAATTCACTGTGCAAAAACATGTCGGGGGCTGGCACGTCGGCTCAGTGGTGAAGAGTGTGCTGTGATTATCATGCCTGGAGCACCAGCTCAATTCTCAGCACCAAAAATTCTGAACAGTTATTAAATAATGACAAAGTTACGAGAACTGAATCAGGTAAGCAAATAGTAAAGAAATTCTCAAAATAGGACTAATTCTTTAATATGACAAATGCTGTTTAATGTTTTGAAAAGAAACAGCTTATTATCAGTGTACTTCATAACAAAAGATCTCTGAGCACTGAACTTGACATAATTATGAAAGAAAACAACTATAATGAGCTAAACTCACAAACACCAAATTTAGAAAACTAGAAATTTTGTTTTCTCAGAAATCATAGCGATTAGCATATACAACTTTCTAAAATGTGAAATCACCTGGAGATTTTGCAAGTGATGCATGGAACACTGAAAAATTGATTAACGCATATGAGGCAAGGAAGAAATTTGAGATAATTGGAGCAATAACATTCAATTCAGCTGCAAAACAAACAAGAAAAAAAATTAGTGTATTTAAAACTACAAATTCTGAAATATTCCTAACTTTTAAATAGCATAATAAATACCCCTAAATCTACCACAGACTGATCCTAATATCCTGCTATCACAACTGATGGCATAATCAAGTTTCAATCAACTAATTTGAGGGTCTAGACAATTCTTTAGAAAGCCTAATGATATCTTTAGAATAATCAACAGGATCCACAGCTTCGCACACGATCAGACAGAGGCATTGTCTTCCTGGGCACACTAGTACCCTTTTCCTACACTATCATCACATAGTTTACGAGTACATGCTTACAATCCTAGTCCTTGGGAATAGATGCAAGACCATCGGGAATTCAACAGTATATTCGGCTACAATTGTGAATAATAGGAGGCCACCCTGAGCTACATGAGTCTTAAAAAAAAACCTGTAACCTCCTCGATTTACTCCATTCCTAATTTCATGTAATAGCAACAATTTTAGTACATAATATCTGTCACTATTGTTTGTAGTATTTTACTTACTCTTGTTTGATTAGAAATTTAGTGCACTAAAGCAAGGCACATTTTATTAATAATTTGATATTCATGATTATAGGTAATGCTATATATAAACATACCAAAACCTATATCATATATCCTTCATAGAACTAACCAATTAGGATGAATCCAAGTGCAATTAAGAATGTTAAGATGTAACCACGAAGAGGTTCATTATTTTTTCCATAACCTTTAGCAAACATCTGGAAAGCTGGGTAGATATTGTCCTTACATAGAGCCTAAGAAAAGAATACAAACATTAAAATGAAATACATGAAAATTAAGATACACAAATCTGCTAACAGTTAAAACAGGTTAATAATGAATTGGAGCCCGTGTCTCTCATTTCTGATGCTTTTTGTTTCCTGCCTCACAGTGTTTCACCTACAGACTATAAGTAAGGGCTATGTAAAATGGGTAGTTGGTTTATATAACACTGCTTAAGATGTTGTCTTATCCCACCCCATGTGCAAACTCTTCCTTTGAAGAATCAGCAAAGCAGACATTTGAAATAATAGTACAATAAAAAAGAAAATTGGAAGCTGGTAAGTACAATACAGTGTACCTATGACTTTAAGAAACTACGTTCAGGGATGCTGGAGGGATGGCTCAGAGGTTAAGAGCACTGACTTGTCTTCCAGAGGACCTGGGTTCAATTCCCAGCACCCATGTGGCAGCTCATGTGTATGGCTATTCATGACTGTCTGTAACTCTTAAGATTTGACACCCTCACACCGACTTACATGCAGGCAAAACATTAATGTACATAAAATAAAAATAAATAATTTTTAAAAAAGAAATGTTAGGTCCAAATCTGAAACATAAAAGTAGATTATAAAGTTTATAAAGTTTAATCACTTTTCTTCAAATCTTAATAGATGCTACCTTAAAAATCATATTCTACACTATTACTATACTTTTTGGCTATAAATATAATATTAAGAATAAGGATAGAAATTTAACACTTATCTGACTTAGTAATTAAAAATTATATCCTAATCAGTATTAGCTGCTTATGATCACTACAGGGAGCAATGATCATTCTAGTTATCACTGTACCTACTACAATTACTGTAATGTTAGCCACATAAAATATTTAAGTTGGCAACATGCTAACTGGAACTATTATTTACTACTTCTGATTAGTCTTAAGACTGCACTCCTAAGAACCCTAGACTTTTATGCTAAGTATGTCAAAAACTCTTTTATCCCTAAAATACTTATTTTTGTCATTTTTATTTATGTATGTGTCTGGAGTCATAAGTGATTATATGAGTGACCCAATGTACAATCTGGAAACAGAATTTGGATCTTTTGCATGAAACCATACAATTGAGCCATCTCTCCAGATCCTCAAATCATCCTTTCTAAGCATATACCATGACACTAGGAAAATGCACAAATGTTTGTATGGATCCACATAGCATTTATATACATAAAATTTATACCAGTCTTAATATACGTATAGGCAAACATAACAAACACGTGAGGTTGGTAAAGGTAACCTACTTGAATATAGCAACAATCCAAAAATTGAAATGTCTACCCCCAATAAAAATTATACTATGAAACATTTACCTGAAATATTTTGGGAGCACTCACGAGAGAGGCTAGAGCTGATGAAAGTGTGGCTGAAAAGATACCTGCGGAGATCAAGGGTGCGAACCCTGACACCATGCTCATCACCTAAATGGAGTGGCAGAAGTGCAAAAGAAGTCTTAAAAACGGCGGACAAAGAGCAGAGGATTGAATAGTCACAGTCTGAAGATTCTAATAAAGGAAACTAATACTGGGGAAACCTGAGAGTCGTTTGGTAAATAGCATGAAGAAGTAAAGTACAAGTTATTAAAACAGATTTACCACTAAAAACCTCTCTCTTGTAAATTTCCAAATGAACATGAGAGAAAAAAAGAGGATGATGAACCGCCACCGCCAACTGCCTGTCACCAGGTTCCAATCACGGACAACTGGGCCCGAGCCCACATCATTTGCAGCCCTACATTTTTAATGCATAAGGTTCAGTGTGTGTCTGTTAACAGGCAGACATTTGGAAATTGTAGCTAAAGCCGCTGGCCCGGCTTAATTTGGCCAGTCCTTCACAGTAACACACATCTAGTCACCAATCAAATTGCCTCAATTGTCCCCATTATCCTTGTCATTTCAAAAGAGGCTTTTTATTTTTTTTTTAAATCAGCTCTCAAAAATGATTATTATATTTGGGTAATACAGTTTTTAAATATATTTAGTGTATGGCTTCATATTTCTCACACTTGATCTCTCACAACCCTCAGTTTATCATGGGCATGGTCACTGTGTTAATGCAAGATGCAGGTGTGTGCATACTGCTACCATTCGCTACCTCCACTCAGTGCTTCATTTGGAGAGCCATCTTGCCTTTCATCTTTGCTGCTCTGTGTCGTGGGCTGCACTGATATTACCACTGGTTTTGCTGAGTATCACTCTGTCCAGTCTCACCATTAGTTTTAGAGAATGCCAAATATTAAACTGCAGAGCCAGAGTTTAGTTGGCTTTTCATTTCCCAATACTAAGCATAGGGCATTGATGCTGATTTGTGCAAAGGACAACACAACCAGAGAACGAGCCTGATTCATGAATCGTCTCAAGAGTTTATTTACTCTTTCATGGATTCTCCATTTGCCTAGTTAGTGATAAACAGAAAGTAACAACTGTCTTCCCTTCTAATGTATAGCTATATTCTAATGGCCAGATTTCATAGTGGTCTAATCCCTAGATAAATACAGAATATCTTTATCATTGATAGAATGTCAATGCTTACCTGAAAGTTGTTCATTAGTCCATAATAACAAGGATTGCTTTCACAATAGGAAAAGTCAAAGTTTAATTTGCAGGCTGCAGAAGTACAGTTCGTCAGCTCTGTGGTAAGGGTATCATTAACATTCCCAGTGGCATCCCGAACAACACAAGAACCTGAAGCACAAGCAACAGCCAGAATGACTCATACACGCATTCCTCTTAAAATCCTACATCCATTCATAAAGAAATCACAGTACTGTCTAGGAACATATTCATAATAGCATACACACTTCATGCATATGCATCTTTATTCTGAACGAAGTAAGAAACTTTGCCGTCACTAAAATTTAAGTAATCAAACTATTCTATTAAAAAAGTGCTACATTTCAGGCATTTTATAAGTGGTGGGAAAACTTGAATAAATATTTCAATCATCATTTTTTTTCCTCTGCCTTTCAATCATGTTGCCAAAAGCATCTCCCTCTTAATGCACCTCTGAACTATTACAGGACTAGAGAGAGAGAGAAAACACTTAAGACTCCAATCAGCTTGAGAGCAGGCATACTTTCATGTCCTGTGCATCACAGTACAGTCTAGGCTGGGCACATTTACAAGGAAAATCCTGAGCACTAGGACCACATGTGTGTGCTGTACCTGACAGCTTGGGGATAAAAGTTCTGTTTCTTTGAACTAGCTACACAGGCACTGGTACTGAGCTCTTTCCCAGCCCACTCCTGAACACCAGGAAGAAGGGTCAGTTCCCCTGCTCACTGAGAACAGACAGAATGAAATCAATGTGAAGTCTAAAAGGGTCAGATTATAGCAGAAATGTATCAATGGCAACAAAATATTTTAAAAGTTGGAACATAATCAGTTATGCTATTAGTTAAATTAAAAACAAACCTTATTTAGCTAGGCTATATATTATATAAGCATATTTAAAAGTTTAGGTAAACACTTGGTTTTTGCAAATGAATTTTGGAAATATGTATTAAAAATAAATCCAAAATCATTTTTAAAACACAATTTGGTCCATCATGATATTGTCAGCATCTACCTTTTGTTCAGCCAAATTTCAAAATTACCTTGAGAAATAGCAATAAAATTCTGAAATAGAATTGTCACTATTTCTGAACAAAACAATGAAAAAATGTGGTAAAATTTAAATTATTCTTAGTAAGATATACATGGACCCCTCTCACCATGAGATTAACAAACTCGGAACTTTTATTTGTATGAGCATAAAAAGGTGCATGCATAACAGTGTGCTGGGCCTCCCAAATCTTTACAACTTTAAAGAGTAAAATTTACCTCCATGTGTGAATACAGCACATATGTCCAAATAAAATGGGAGTTTACAGGTACCATTTTACATATATTTTTACATATATTTTATATATACTTAGTATAATAAATAAATGACAGAAAGGACCCCACAAAGCATTTGGTCATTTTATGTCTCTGTAAGTCACCACTAGTCCTTAAGCGGCCTTTGCATTAAAACAGGCAACTGATTCTGTGCCTTTTTACCTAAACTATTTTGGAATGTTAAAGTCAGAAAATATGCTATGAGCATCACAAAATTTCTAAGACATATAAAGAAATGAAGGTTATTTACCTACGGACACTGCAATTCCTATGTAAACCACTGTAGTAATTAAAATGGCTAAAAGTGTTCCTTTGGGTATGGCTGACTGAGGGTCCTAGAAGACAAGAAAATTCTTTAGTCTATAAAAATAAACGCATGGAGAGCATTTTTAACAAATCAGTAATCAATACAACACTTTATGATACTTACTGCAAGATCACCTGAGATGTTTGCCCCAGCTAGAATACCAGTTGCAGCAGGGAAAAAGATGGCGAACACAGAAAAGAAAGTCTCTTCGTCTCGGAAATCCGGTCCAAAGTTCTCATTAAATATTTCAGCTACAGAGGACAAAACATTGCATCAGTTGCTAGACAGCAAATGAGAACAAAAGAACTTAAGTCAAGAATAATTAGTATATATGGTCTCCCCACAATGGGTCATTTTTACTTAATGCAAATTCAGTATCTGTGCTCCTATTATCTGATGAAATTGTTTGCTATCAAAATGGTGATGTAATCTAGGATATGACCTACCTTTTGATACCTTTTATGAGTAAGTGTTTAAGAACCTCCAAACTTGACTGTCATCACTAACTCAAATGAAAATTACAAGTATAGATTACTGACCCACTTTCCCTGACTTCAAACTAAGAAAACACAAGAAAGGAGGTAGGGAAATAAACGCAAACACACTGATCTGGAGCCAGCCTCTACCCTACTCTCCAACACCTACTTCCATTATCACCTATACAGACTAAAAGAAATGGTTTAAAGGAGCAATTAAAAAATAAAAAGATAGTCCCCTGAAGTTACTTCAAACTATGAGACTAGATAACACCAAAATAAAGAATATAGGTGGTGGGCCTATATGATGAACACAACTGTGTCCACGGGGAAAAAAAAAAAAAAAAGAGGATGTGCAGCAGTTTTGTCAACTTGACACAAGCTGAAGTCTCCTGAGAGGAGGGAAACTTAATTAAGAAAATTCCTCCAGAAGATCAGGATGTAAGTGAGCCTGCAGGACTTTAATCAGTCATTGATGGGGAAGGACCTAGCCCACTCTAAGTTATAGACAGAAGTTTCTCTCCCGCCCAGTCCCAGAGCCAGTCCCAAATAAACACACAGAGGCTTGTATTAATTATAAACTGTTTGGCCTATTGTTCAGGCTTATTACTAACTACCTCTTACAACTTAAATTAACCCATAATTCTGATCTATGTTTAGCCATGTGACTTGGTATTTTTTCTAAGTAAAGTGTTCTAATCTTGCTTCCTCTGCATCTGGATGATAACTCCATCCCTGCTTTCCTCTTCCCAGAATTCTCTTAGTCCGGTTGCCCCACCTATACTTCCTGCCTGGCTACTGGCAAATTAGCATTTTATTAAACTAACATGAGTGACAAGTCTTTACAGTTTACAGTAGGTGGTGCCATCCCTGGGCAGGTGGCTGTGGGTTCTTTAAAAAGGCAGGCTGAGAAAGCCATGAGGACCAAGCCAGTACTTGGCACTCTCCATGGCCTCTGCATCAGCTGCCTTCAGGTACCTGCCCTGTTTGAGTTCCTGCCCCAACTTCCTTCTCTGACAAACAATGATAGGGAAGTGAAAGCCAAATAAACCCTATCCACCCCAAGTTGCTTTGGTCATGGTGTTTCATCACAGCAATAGAAACCCTAACTGAAACAGAGGGTAAGAGGAGTAATAGAGCAGTCAACGAGTCAAGCAGAACATCAACTGGATAGCCAACAAGGAAAGACTTTCAAAAAGGACAAGACTGTGACTAAAGAAGACAGAGCAATCTATGCTGCTCCACGTCATTGTGACTTGACAGACTGATGGATTACTAATAAAACCATCTGGCTAAAGTCAACTGGGGGCAAGGCTAAGCACTGTCTCAAAGTATTGCTTATTAGCTGACAACAAATGGCAACTTCCCAACCAAGAAGCCTCTTAGTCCTCACCTTAATAAAGACATACAAATTAACATCAAAACTAGGGAAAGCTAGTTCACTCTGACCCCCTATTCTGGGTGCTGAGGACACACTGCTTTCTGGCTAATGTAAATAACCCAGCTGGAGAGATGACCCCCCCCACACACACACCTATTATCCTGAAAACTGTCAAGATGAAAAAGCCTAGTGAGACTGAGGATTATGTCTTGAGTCAGTTTTGTTTTGTTTTAAAAAGGAAAGTGAACAACTTAATGCAACTGATTCTGGACAAGGAACCTGCAGTTGCTATTAGGATCCTCATGAAACCTGAAAAACATCTATGCATCGTGCCAAAGAAAAAATTCCTGAATTGCCCTTTTCCTTAGTGGATATGTGCTATAGTATTTAGAGATAAGAAGTCAGGATTCTGGCCACTTTCATCTGTTTTCACAATTCATAGCACTTTTAAACTGTTATGTTTTTTAAAAAAGTCATATGCCAAGTAGCATTTTGGTCAATGATGGGCAATATACTTAAAGGGGTCTATAACTCTATGATGTCATCGACATCTTAGTTTGGGTAGGTATACCCTCAGATGCTTGTGCAGCAATAAAATCATCTAAAGATACATTTCCCACATCCCCATCACCAAAAAACACATAACTAGATGTATAATGAGAGCCATGCAGGCACCTCCTTCTTAGTACCACTGGCATCTCTATACTGAACCACCTGTTTTTGCTATCATTGAAAAACAAGATAAAAACGAAGCAATTTTACTCTAATTGTACAGTCTATTTAAAGAGGACAAAACTGAATTATGAATTAGTGTGAATCACCAGACCAAACTTAATCACTATATAAAATACCTAAAATATACTTAGTTAACAGCAGAGTGCTGTAATTTGCATTCTTAACAAAGTATCCATCCTTTATACTTACATTTATAGCCAAAGAACCCCTTGGGCTTCTTGCCCTCCAGTGAGATAAACGTTCCTATGACAAAGTCAGCGATGGCCAGCAGAAGAATCACCAGGAGGACGATCTGAGCCTACGGTTCAAACGCTGAGAGTCACAGTCTATCTCCACACTCTCCTCCATTACAGACTGCCTGTCTCCTGCACTTTCCTCCAGTATAGACAATCTGTCTCGTTTTGCCTTTCTGCCAAATGTCTTAAAGGATGCAACGCATCAGTATAAGTATCAGTAGATATTCAATAAATGCTGTTACATGAATAACAGCTCTTAAAGAACTTTCTTAAAGTCAGGGCAGGGCCATGAGCCTGAAGTTCCCATCTGTCAGGAAGCTGAGGCAGAAGGACCACAAGTCTGTGACTCGTGAAACTCTGAGTTAGTAAGACCCTGCCTCAAACAAAACTATCTGAGAATGTTTGATTATGGATAGAATCATGCCACTCATTTCTACAATAAGCCCTAAAGATGGTTATATCACCAGCCAAGTCACAGGCTTTTCATTCTATAAAGCCCTCCTCACCAAGATTAAAGTCTCAACAGGGAGAATATGCTTGTGATCAACACGAGTTTCAGAGCAGGTCCAAACACAGTGGTGTGTCCGCCTGCAATGCTGCAGGAAAGGAGGAAAGACAGAAAAACGTGCCAAGTGGGGGAACTCAGGAACAGTGACACTGGGGGGGGGGGGGGGCAAAAAGCCCTTAACACAAACTTTCCTCTAACTTTAGCTACTCAAAAAAGGTAGGCAGATACTATTCGCAACCAAAACATTTTAGAAAGTATTTTCAAATATGATTACTATGGGAAAAGGAGCCACATGTGCTACAGTGCATGTGTGGATCTCCGGGGACAACTTTAGGGAGCTGGGTCTCTCCCTCCACCTGCCTGTGGCTTCCAGGAATCCAACTCAGTCCCCAGGACATCTGTAACAAGCACCTTTACCCACTCAGCTGTCTTGCTGGCCCAGCAAGAATTCTTATACATTAACTGTGACCCAAGTAGGTTTTTTCAATAAAGTCAATGTGCTACATGAGTAAATAAATGAAGGACTGGAATATACTCAGTTGTAGACAAAAAGTCTATCATGCAATGGGCCTTAGGTGCAATTCTTAATTACTCAATGATGAGCAAAGTAGTGTTTAACTGAATTTAAAATGGGTTATCTTCAAGTATATCATTTTAAATTCCAATAAGCTATATACCATAAACTTCTATAAAAATGGCTACCTTTCCACTAGATTCTGAAAATCAGTTTTAGTTTCCCAAAACTTGGGTTTTTGGAGCAAATGCTTAGAGATGCTCTGCCACGACTTACCTTGGCTTCCCACTCCATCCCGGCTACTGAGATGCCCAGAAGAATCACTACTGTGATGGCTCCAATAATTCGGATGTCATTGATTTCATCTATCATAAGTATGGAATGTTCCTACAAAAGAGAAATAGCTGTAGACATTTAATCAATGCTTATTAAGGGAATAGACAGAGTATGCCTGTGTTCCCAGCATGTGTGAGTCAGAGGCAGAAGAACTATCAAAATTTCAAGGCTAGCCTGGTTTATACTACACATTAAGGCTAGCCTGGTTTATACTACACATTCCCAGTCGTCACACTACAAGACCTTGTCTCAAAACTAAGCACTAATTACCACTAGTTGTCATTGAGGTACCTTATATTTCTAATTGAATTACAAATGCTAGTACATCTGATATGGACCCAATAAATCAAGAAGAGCAATTAATTACCAATCAAGGAAATTATAATCTGACTGGCACAGATAGGTTTTATAAAGTGACACAACAGAAATGTGTTCTATGTTTGGTGTGATTAGTGAACCCATGTTTTAATGTTCTTTTATGATATAAAAGGGAAAAAGAATAAACCTTCATGCTATTGTCAAAACCACACAGTTCCTATTACATAAGCAAATTATTTATAAGCGTTAATAATGTTGGGAGCATATTTTTTTAAGTTCACCAATAGGTTAAGCTATATGTGTGTGTGTGTATCCTGTCAGTGAAGATCTGGCAAGCGAATGACTAGGCCCAATTACCTTAAGCAGCTCCACCACAGTTTCAGCAAATCCAACAACATACATAGCAACTGCCACCGCATTGGCAAAGGCAAAGATCAAGCCAATTGCACCACCAAATTCTGGCCCTAGACTTCTAGAGATTAAATAATATGCTCCTCCTAAGAAAAAGAATGAAAAAGTTAGAGTTTAAAACGCCAACAATTCCTTTAATTATACCAGGGAACTCACAAAACAGATTTAGCCATGCATATGAGTGTATTTTCAGAAGAAATACTCCAGAAGACAGATATCTGAGCTACTCATGCCTACAGGAAGTATTATAGTACAGTCAGTTCCATTAATAAAACAGGAACTTCAGAACTGCCTTTTGTAGCTTCTACAGATATTTCATTGATCTGAAAGTTACAATTTGAAGGAATATACCTATCACAGGAAAGAATATGGAGCTTCTTGCTTGGTAGTAAGTACTAGTCATCCACAGTTACACAATGGATTTAAAGACAAAAACTTGACCACTTATATAGCCTGATTTTATTAAGACAGTGCTTTTTGTCACATAGTGGAAAATGTTAAGGTTTCTTCAATTTCAGTGTTTTGATTTTACTGTTACAAAATGAAGCTTTCAATTATTTCAAAAAGTATTTTTGGACATTTGAGACCAGGCTGCATAATCTCCATCAAGTTTAAATTTTAATAAAGCATTCACATAAATTGTTTCCTATCTGGTCTCATTAGTCATACAAATGATAACAGTAATAAACAACAATATTGCATTCATCAAGATAATGTATGTCAGAACCATATCACTCCCAGTCTCTAGGTGACAAACAATGACTGTTACTATTTATTATATGATCTTAAGTCCTTAGAAAACTGGACCTTGCCTGACACTGTTACAAACCCAGCATGTGCCACAAGGTGCTCAAAATTACCTGACTGATTGAAGCACAAATAAAATACACTTCACCTAATGCATAGAATAGGCTAATTCATATTAATTTCGGCAGTAAACTTAAATAACTTTACATGGTGTTCATCTTGGTGCCTGTGGTGGCTGTATTCAGCTGTAGATGGGAAGAGACTGATCTGTGCAATGGAAGAAGTCAAGTCTGAATGATGAGACTGAGAAGCAGTATTATCTAAGGGCAGAATCAACACAACTCAAGCAAGGCTGGCCAACTACAAGCTCTCAAGAACACAGATTTGATATACAGAACAGGCGACTTAAAAAGCACGAATGTATCTTTCAGGTTGGGCCTGTGCAAGGGCAACTCACCTCCTCTTACAAACCCATTGGTAGCTATTGCTGAAGTAGACAATCCTGTGATAGTCGTCACGACAGTGGCCATCACTATTACAAGGACGGAGAGACCTTTAAGGAGGAAAAAGAAACCATGAACCTTATATTCCTAAACTTGCCACTTCCTAGAACTAGCAGAGTTAAGCACTGATTTGGACTGTGGTGCTTTGAAAGAGAATAGTCCCGGTATGTTCACATTTTTGAATGTTTGGTTCCTAGTAGGTGGACTGTGTGTGAAGTATTTGGCTTTCGGAGGAAGTGCAGTACTGGGAGAGGGCTGCAGCAGGCCCAGACTCACTCTCTCTGCCTCGTGCTGTGGGTCACAAGTAAGCTCTCAGTAACTGCTCCGGTCTCATGCATGCTGCCTGCCTGCCATCATGCTCCAAACTATGATGGTTATGCACTCACTCTCTTAAACTGTAAGCAATCCCTCAATTAAATGCTTTCTTATGTAAGTTTCTTTGGTCATGACATTTCTCAACAGAAATAGATAAGTAACTAAGACACAGGCCATAAATTACCTAATTCTAATCTCAATTTTGAGAAATAAAGTCAAAACTGTGAAAGTCAATTATGGTAGCAATCTACATAATAAAGGCAACACAGCCCAGTCAGCAACTGCAGAAAGGCACACAGCTAATATAACGTAGATCAAGAGGTGTGAAGCTTCCCTTACCTATTCCAGCTTGACCCACAATCCACGACAATCTAATAAAGAGCATTACACCCCAAATGTTCAACATACAACGTACCTGGGAGAGAAAAAAGGACACAAGACACAGCAATAAAAATTAAACAAGTCAAAAGTTAAATGTGACTGAAACTATGAAAGTGTTTTGAAATCTAACTCCTTTACCTTAAGTTTGTCAAAAGGGCTTACTGAGGGTTTCTGTTAGCTGATGTAAGTAAGAGCCATGGAAGTATGTGTATAAGTAAATGTGCTTACCAAGAGTGTTAGAAACACAACAGAAGACTATTTTTAAGACTATTGACTCTTTGTTTGTTTGTTTTTGAAGACAAGGGTTTTTTTTTTTTTTCCTGTGTAGCCCCGACTGTTCTGAAACTCACTATAGAAAGTGGACTGGCCTTGACCTCAGAGATCCACCTGCCTCTGCATCCTGAGTGCTGGGAGGCACTAAAGGCCTGTGCCACCACACCTGGTAAGACTTCAAATCTTAAAATTACAATTTGTCTTTATCATATTAAGTTTTGCCTATGCTTTGATAACATCTGCCATGAATGGTTAAGGCAGAGTTAAGGATTGCGTGTACACCAACACAAATGTCAATGGATCACACCATTCCCAAAAATTTAAACTAAGTATGATACTCCCACAACTTGAGCTTATATTAATTTTTTATTCTATGTTCCTCTTTGCGTATTGTTATAACTGATTCAGCACCTGGGAGGCAGAGGCAAAATGAGTTAAAGGTCAGCCCGGTGTAGCCCAACCAGGGCTACCAAAAAGTAGAAACTTGTGAGTTTCCAATTTTATCAAGATGATGTGCATAATAATAAACATTTCTCCCCTAATGAACATAATATCACAAAGGAAAGAATACACAAGGCATTACTGGGTCTTCCATAGTACCCACAAACAAACAGTGAGGCAGAAAACCAGTAATTCTCTCGAGAACTTGAGCTAGGTTTGCTAATCAACAGGACTGGAGCCATAAACAGGGTCTATGCATACATACTAATACGCCCTTGATCCAGCCGAACTTCACAACCCCTTTACTTTCGGCAGTGTATGTAACCACAGCATCCCTGGTTGGAGTACTTTCTTCTCCATTTGCAAAGCCATCCTCAAAAGGTTCCTGGTTACAGAAAGAAACATGAATGCAAATTAAGAATTAAATAATCTTGAATCACTTGATAAAAACCAAACATAATTAAACATGGTTAACTATACACGTAGGATGACAAAAACTTATGAGAATGAAATGTGATAAATTACACAGTTTATTTCTTAGACAGGTTCAAGAATGGGGAGTCTGGTCCCCAGTACAGTGGTACTGGAGATGTGGAACCATAAAAAGAGAGGCCTAGTTCAAGGTCCCTACATCACCAGGGAAGCTACCCTGCCAGCATGTCTCCTGGATGTGGGTGATGTGATGCTCTCACCTGCACGTGCTCCTTCTACTGCACTATAAAGTGACACAGTAACGGGAAAGTCCTTACCAAAGCCTGTAACATGCTGTCTGGGCGTTCATCATTCACGACTGGGAGCCAAATAAGCCTTTCTTCCTAAATAGCTTGACTCAAGTATTTCAATATAATAAAGATAGGTTGCTCAATCAAAGCAATAAAGTAAAAGGAAAACCTAAAATAAGTGTCACTATGACGTAAATCCATTTTAATGATTCCAATTTTTAAAATGGGCCTAGTGGTACAAACATATTCCAAGCACTCAAAAAGCAGAGACTGACTTCAAAATCTGGACACCAATATAGGCAACAAAGCATGACCCAATCTGTACTAATAATGAAAATAACAATAACGAATGTTTTTATACTTTGATGGTATCTGAAGTCTGCAGTGACTGCTGCCTGCCAGATTAATCCAGATGGGACAAAAAAATCAGAGCTACTACTAGGCACGTGGTGGGATGGGCCTGTAATGGAGACCAAGGCAGAAGGACTGTGAGTTCAAGGCCAGCCTGTCCCAGTTCCAGTAAGATTACATCAAAGATGACAGACAGACAAACAGGCAGATGTAAGGTCTTGGCTCCTTAGCACAAATTTATATCATCTAGCTGCCATATTCTTTCCCATATCTGAAATATCAACATTAACAATTTAAAATTCCTTTTTTGTTTGTTTGCTTATTTTTCAAAACAGGGTTTTTCCATGTAGCCCTGGCTGTCTTGGAACTTGCTCTGTAGACCAGCTGGCCTTGAAGTCAGAGATCCATCTACTTCAGTCGGAGCACCACCACTGCCCGGCTTAAAAGTCTTTCCCATCAAACAATACAGAATATTCCCAAGACTCTTAAGATTCATTCAGAGCCCCATCTCTACACTGACTCTACATGTTCTTAGTCATTCAGGTCTATTGACTTCTTCAGAAATCACACAGTACATTCTCGCTGTTGGTCTTTCTTTCTTAGGTAAACTTCATGTCTAATTCTGTAGCTCTTCGTTTTTTATTCTCTATGTCTCAGTGGTTCTCACTATCTGTTCAGTCTTTACTGGGACACACAGGGCCAGACATCTCCAAACTAGTACTACCGAGACTTAAGGCAAACTGTACAACTTAGGGTAGAAGGAAACGGCTTAGAAGACAGATGCTCTAAGTCTAACATATGACCTTCAACGCCATCACCATGGTTTTTAATCCATACTCTCAACACCAGGGAACAAAACACAGCTATAGTTTGGGCACTAAATTTTTTTATGAACACAGTCCAACTTTTAAAACTAATTTTAGTGCTTCAACACTAAAGGGAATTATGAATATAATAATGAAAAGAAATGAGTGATGGAAAGTTATGTGTAACCACAGAACCACATCTATATACTTATCCAATCTTCCCTGGCCTCTAGCCTATTACTGTTCTTCTCTTTATGTACACTCTGGTGTAAACACAGCAACTAGCAGTCATTAACCTTAACAGAAATATGGAGAAATTAGTTTTTCTTCAACGTGACTAGACGTCAGTGCATCACAATCCCAGTTGGGTTTTACTCCCATTGTTAAATGTTTCCCATACAGCAGAGGGGCAAAGCTGACTCCAAACAGTAAATAGAAACTCTTAATCCAGATTTCACCATTCCCCCCAGCTGCTCAATTATTCAAATAAAGTCACAAGGAGAAACAAGCCTATCAACTTATTAATCTTGAAGCAAAAAGTCCTTAGTTTTCATGCTGCAATAGAAAGCCTATAATATGCACAGAAAAGGAATCTCTTTCCATCTCTGTTTAGAAACTGAATATGTATGTCCCTAATCAGCTACTTTTCCCAAGGCTAAAGTGCAATGTGGGTGTCTTTTGAGCAATGCAAAAGTATGCAGGCATCCTAAAATTTTTGTTGTGGGTGCTTATCAGAATCTCACATGCAAGTTGAAGGTCTAGCAATTATGCTGGTTTCTACCACAGTGTGAACACTGTGAAAAACTGCTCAAAAGACAAGTATTTTCTAGCTTTTATGAAATTACTTTAGAAAACTAGCGATGTGTTCACAGAAAACAAAAAGTTACCTTCCTAATCACCCTCTAGCAAATCTCCTTTTAAAAGTTTTAGTATTACTCTCCAAACTACAATCTACAACTAAAGCTCGGTGTAGTGGTGCACACCTGCACCCTCACAGTTAGGGGCTGGTCCAAGAGGAAGCTGCTGTGAGGCATGCACCCTGAGCTCCAGGCCGAGCAAGGCTACAAGACAGACTCCAACCAACCATCCAAACAAACATCCAAAGCTAATCAAATAACTGTGCTATTTGTGGCTGAATAAATGGACTGAAGTGTGATGAAACTGGGATCAGAACTAAATTAATTTCCCAAAATAAAAAGAAACCAGAGTTTGTTTATTTTGGTGATGTTGGGTATCCAACTCAAGGCTCTACTACTGAGCTCCAGACTCAGTTTTGAGTTGTTTGTTTAATATATGAGCTTTCAAGGAACAAGAAAATCTCAGGAATGACACCCTATCCACCTTGACAAAAATTTACATGAAAACATCACAAGTAAATAAAAGTTCAAATATGAAGTTAAGTAAGATAGGCCAAGGCAAAGGTACAAAAATAACTATTTTCAGTATTTACTATCTTTTCCACAATAGTAGGTGGAAAGTAAAAACTATTTAGTGGCATTTTAGTAGGTAGATAAATTAATTTAGCATTATTCTAGGAAATACAGCTCTGAAAGAGTAGCACTGTGATTCTGAGTTTGGAGTCGCAACAGAAATAAACTCAGAAGAGAGGAAGATGGGAAATAATGGAAGGCAGACGGATGTTACACCTATTGTAACTGGAAGGATTTCTTATAAAACAGATCCACTAGTGCAACTAAAGAGAGTATGTCAGCATGCCCACAATCCTAGTACTGGGACTACAAGATCATTCATCTAAATTCAGCCTGGGCTACAAAGCAAGATTCTGTTTAAAGGGAGACTGATGAAAACAACAACAACAACAACATACAAACCAAGTGTAGAATAAGGGGGCCAAGAGACAAGAGAATCTATCAGGCAGCTTAAAAATTCATGAATGGAACTTAGAAGAGGGGCCAGGGATAGACAGCCAGGGGGTGAGTGCATGGGAACAGAGAGACAAACATACAGAGAGAAAACATGGGCAGGGTGTGTTTCTAAAGATTCAGAAAAGACAAGAATGGAAGAATTCTAGCTCCCATGGTTATTGTTTCTTTGCAGGAAGTAGGAAAAGGAAGAATTTTCTGTAGACTGGGTGTTGTTTGTTTGTCTTGTAGATTCAAAGCTCCCCCTCAATCATGGACAAAGTCAGAGGACACACTGGCATCAGGATACAGGTCCCTGACTTGCTTGAGACAGGGTCTCTTTGTTTGCTACTTCACAGAAGTAGCAAGCTGATTCACAAGCCTCCAGGGACTGTCTCTGCCTCCCAACTCCCCTAAGTAAGGAACAGACACATCACCATGACTGGGGGTATGGGGACTCTGGTCCTCAAGTTCAAATGGTCCAGGCTGGTCGCCAACTCAACCATCCCTCTACTGAAGCCTCCCATGAGCAGGATTACAGACATGTGTAACCACATTTACCTACAAAAACTATTTTTGTCACAGGTCTCCTCCCTGCACCAGGGAAGGCATTTCTGAGGAGTGCAGTCCCTTAGTACAGTGCAAACACTATTATAAAACAGATTTTAGGCAATGTTTATTAACACATATTCACTTTTAGTACAAACTTACTTTATTTTTTTATAAAAAGTATCTTTACTTGGTGATTGTAGGCAAAGATAATAAACTGTATACTTTTGTAACTTGGGAAGGGGAATTTAGCAAGAACAGTGGGACAAAGCTGTGTCACAGTCTCTTTAGGGCTCCGGAAGCTACCACAAGGCTGTCTCTGGAGTAATTTAAAGCCAGCTGAACACCAATACCTTTTAAGTAAGGAAATGAGCCAGTACCTTAGTGGTGCCAATGTGCAACAAAAGTCCTAAGTAACTCTGATGTTCTTCTCCCTGTGCAGTTTTGCACTCACAAAAGCAGTTTTCCGGGCATAAATAACAACCATATCCTTTGACTCATTAGCACACAGATATTAACACACTATCAGTCACCATGCTAGGGACTTGTGAACCATCTTTAAAGGTGTAATTTTTTTTTCAATAGAGACAAAGGAAAAAGGTGTCTCCTACCATCACTGAGGACCTTTTTCATACTGAATGCAGCCTCCAGGAAATGTTTAGCCCTGTCAAAGGCTACATATACCTTTTTTCAATGCCCACACTTTACTTTTTATGTTATATTCCCTCTCTGAGAACTGGTTTCCTCGGATAGATGGAGATAATAATTTCTCCCCATCAATATCATATCCTGGAAGGTTTTAGGCTCTCTAGATAATATGACAGACATATATAAAGCAAGTGAGATGTGTTTATTGGCTATTGAACTGATACACCATAATTAAGTGTCGGTGTCACAGTTCAAGTGTGACAGTTGTTAAGTCAAATCTATAGAAAGACATTTCAGGTATTTTTTTTTTTTTTTTTAGTCAGCAAATAGTGGGAAAGTTGTCCTTAGGTGACCTGCCTTTTCAATTTCTGGCTACTCTTCAGAAGGAGAAAGTTTAGCCAGCTGACCTATGTGAGTGAGGCTAAGCTTTCCTGGACTACACGCAGT